TCCCCCCCCCCCTGATTTTTTAAAGTTTATTTTTTGTCTATGAAGATTCTCTGTCATCCAGGTCATAGTTATCCCAAAGATGTTTTTTCATGAGGCAAAAACTGGACTTTGTTTTTCTTTGAAGACATTTCGCTTCTCATCCAAGAAACTTCTTCAGCTCTGACTGGATGGCGGGGAATGGGAAATTTATTTTTTTGTTTTTGTTTTTTTCAAATTGCCAGCATATTTCAGCTTTGGCATAGTACTTAAACAAGATGGCTGAGCTTGTTTCTTGAGTGGAATCCTCTGAGATTGTAGGTCAATACACAACTGATGAAATACCTGCCCATAATCAATTTAAAAACCTCATCAAAGATAAACTACATGGACATGGACAAGAAGTTGTCTGGAAAAAGCCTACATGAGTCCTGATGTTGGGAAGAGATTGGGTTTAAAAACCCATAGGGCTTTATCAAAATCACAACTGGGCATTATGAATTGAGAATAAACATGCAAGAATTCCAACAAAAATGTACAAATGCATTTTGTAGAAATATCAAGAAGTTTCAGCAGGACTGTACCAAGTTTTGTGTTAGAGAATTCGAAGCACTTAATACACAGAGCTGATTGGATGGATGGATGGATATACACTTTGTTAAAGTTTATATAGAATCTCCTTAGTTGGTATTTTGCATTTTGTGTCAGAGAACCGTAGCTAATACACCCAAGCTGACTGTTAAGAATAATGCTGCTGAATAATATTCACTGCATGGTATTGACTTAGTAAAGTTTGAATTGGACCTGGTTGATAGTATTGATTTCAAGACTTTTTATTCAGGAAAATCAAAGACTATTAAATACTTTTAAGAACTCTTTAAAAACAGGTGTGAATAAAATTCATTTTGGTGGGATGGGGCAGGTATTTTTCCTCAGAACACAGAAGGTAGCAGACTGGCGATGCCTGGGATAGGAAGAATCAGCACTTGCTTTCTATTCTATTTATATTCTAAACTTTCTATTCTATTTCTGAGTCAGAGGCCTTTATTTTCCCAGAAAGGTATTTGGGGATGCCACATGGTGCAATCCAGTTCAAATGTCTTGTTTGGGGGGGGGGGAATCACCAGCTGGTACTGTCTTTGGCTGATTAGACTTGGTGTCTGTTCAAACACTATAAACAGCAGCAGGTTCCTAATTTCTTCCTGCTAAATCTAATGTGCGCTGGAGTCAACTGAGCATTTTTTACTGTCCAGCGCCACCACACACAGGAAGGAGATTCACAGGCGCACTAACAACTTTTCTGGATCATAAATCCTTATATAATTGTGGTAGCTTCTTCTTATACAGGTAGTCCTCGACTGATAATGGTCGTTTAGTGACCATTCACTGGAAAAAAATGATGAGCATTTTTCACACTTATGACCGTTGCCGCATCCCCATGGTTACATGATCAAAATACAGACGCTTGGCAACTGACTCATATTTATGATGGCTGCCGTGTCCTGGGGGGGGGTCATGTGATCCCCTTTTGCGACCTTCTGATAAGCAAAGCCAGATTCACTTAACAGCCGGGTTACTAACAACTGCAGTGATTCACTTAACAACTGGGGCAAGAAATGTCATAAAATGGGGCAAAGCTCAGAGCAAACGTCTCACTTAGCAACGTAAATATGGGTTCAACTGTGGTCGTACGTCGAGGACTGTACCTGTACATGGAATTGAAACTCCGCTCCTAAAGCTCTCGAGGTTGTGCAAGGCTATGTTTGTGTCAAAGGAAAATGAAGGCTGGAAATATCATGCCCAGGGATCTCTCGCCACAGCTGGGATCAAAATCCACCCCTTTCTGGATTTTGTTATTTAAAAGGGGGATCCCAAGTCTTTGCAAAGTAGCAGCTATATGAACTGTATTCATCCAGGTATAACAGTATAACTCAGACATAAACTGGCTAAGCTATTTTCGTTATTTATCTAGCAGACTATGGTTGTGTGTTATAGGGCCTTACTTGGGATTTAGCATCTTTTAGCTTTGAAAGCATTTTAAGAAAAATGCTTCTACCAGTCTCAAACTTGGTTGGGGCTTCCAAGAAATTGGGGCGATAGTGGTCCATGCTTTTTTTTTAAGAGCAGAATAGGCAGAATAAAAATTTTCTCTAAGCCTTGGTCTTTATTTGACCTGTGCTCAACTGTAGTGCCGCAAAGTCAGAGAATACATACGATACATAAAATAGCATTCAATAATTAAAGTAAGCGATAGTTATTATTATTTTTTTGCCCAACCCTAACTTCAATGATTCATTTTATTCAAGGGACTCTCATACATTTATCATTTTCAGGGATTATGAGACCACACAGGTTGAGAATCTTTGCCTCTTCCTATCTACACTCAACGTGGCATTCTACATCAATAATATTCCCAGGACATATTTTGATCTTCCTGGGTTTATTTTTGGGCATGGCAAAAAAAATGGTATATTATTTTAGTATGAAATATATATCGTCATTTTTTCTCAATTTATGTAGAAGTTCAAATGTTAGAATAACCTTGAAGATTTTAAAGGTCCCTTCCAATTTTGTTATTCTGCTATAGTTATACTCTTAAAGTTATATATTGGGAAGTGCTACTCTGGGTGTCAGTTTTGCATCTTATACCCTTTCACCCTTATACTAACTCTTCTGCTTTTCTTTAGCCCAATCTTCTCTGCTGCAGGCAAACACTGTGAAATGAAGCAGAAAATCACCCTAATGGGGATCAGATGAATCAGAGGTCCTTACATAACTAAATGCACTTTAGCAGATGGCACAGAATACTTTAAAAAGGTATTTCAGCTGTTAAACGAAATTTAGAGCGACATCTAAAATTGTTTTTTTTTTTAGCTCTATAAAATTCTTCATCGCATCCCAAATGATATTAAAGGACATTTACACGATGGTGCTCTTTTTTTTTTTAGCTCTATAAAATTCTTCATCACATCCCAAATGATATTAAAGGACATTTATTCTGGTGCTCTTTAACCAATTTTGCTGAGAAGCGTAATCCCAAAACAGTCCACATTTTATTCCAGAGAAGAGATAGGCCTCTCTGTGCAATCTTTTTTTTTCTACAATTCCATTTGTGCCAGGAAGGGGAAGGCTAGTTGCATTAACCAGACCATCCTTCTTGTCTCCCTCACTCCTCTGTTCAAAGGAGGTTACAGATCTACACTGGGGAATCTGTTGCACTTGGAAATGTATCCCAGCATTTTCAAGCTGGGCAGCACAGAATTACACAACGGGTCTACAAGGAGGGGAACAGGCTTTCCAGGAAGGCATTAAATTCTCCAATATTTGGGGGACGAATTGGCACCTTGGTAGAGCAAGCCATGAGCAAAGAAANTCTGTTCAAAGGAGGTTACAGATCTACACTGGGGAATCTGTTGCACTTGGAAATGTATCCCAGCATTTTCAAGCTGGGCAGCACAGAATTACACAACGGGTCTACAAGGAGGGGAACAGGCTTTCCAGGAAGGCATTAAATTCTCCAATATTTGGGGGACGAATTGGCACCTTGGTAGAGCAAGCCATGAGCAAAGAAACTAGTGTTATGTGGGCTTACCCATTAATATTTACTTACCAGAATGCAAGCTAGCAAAAATATTTCTTTCCATCCTTTCTAAAGCCCTAGGTGTGTATTATCAATGCTCAGTTGAATCTACCTGTGCCTTTTTTTCTTTTGACTATGTAAGCATATTCCCAAACAGAGCCCTCACAGGTATCCATTCCTCATTTCTATTTACTAAAAATGCTGATAGAGACTGAATTCTGTTTTAATTTGAAGCATGCCAGCTTCCTTACTGATTTTGACAATAAAATAATCCTTTACAGATTAAAAAGTGAAAGGGAGCAGAGGGTCTGGTTTACAGGGGTAGGCAACCTTGGCTCTTTTATGACTTGTGGACTTCAACTCCCAGAGTTCTTGAGTCAGCATGGCTGGTTCAGGAATTCTGGGTATTGAAGTCCACAAGTCATAAAAGAGCCAAGGTTGCCTACCCCTAGTCTAGTAGGTATCAAGGGAGGATTTAACAAAGAGAAAAATTTGCATTTGACTTGGAGTGAAAAAGGAATCATGTGTTTTCAGAAGTGTTCAATTTCTCCGTATTTTGAGGTACTCAAATAACTATCAAAATCTGCTTTTCAAGCACAGCATATAACATTTGTGAAACCCTGTTCAGTGTCACTCCTAAGCTATGGAATGCACATCTTCAACCTTCTCTTCCGGCTTTCAGGAAAGAACTTGGGACCTTTCTCTTCAGCTGCACCTTATTAGTTATTTTAATAGTATTAATGGTTTTAAATTTTAAGTGGTTGTTTAAAATTCTTCATTGGTAGCATTTTGAATACTTGATTGTAGAAAGGATACAACCTGTATGATTTTTTAAAATAAAATTTCCGAAAAGCTATCCCAATCCATGCCATTAAAAAGACAAAACTCGTGGAATCCAGTCCTTCTTCCAAAAAATTTACTCCCACCAGAGTTTTCTAAATTTTTGCGTTTTTTTTTTAACTCAATAACTCAATAAGAAAATATTTTTTTTTAAAAAAAATCTGGGAGTATTAGCACTGAGATTTTAATCAAATAAACCAAAGTGTGGCTTGTGCATAGGCTCAATATAACTTACTAAAAACTCTTGAGGAAAAAATAGGGCAATACCAATACTGGTTAAATCATCAAAATAAGAAAATGCTTTGGTTCCACCATTTATTTTAACCATCGTAATAAAAAGTAATCTGAATTATGACAAAGCTTTCCCAAGTTGTAATAAATTACTTTAAATGCTGTCATGCAGCAAAGCTGTCATCCAGCAATACAATTTAACACACACACCCTCAAAAAAAAAAAAACCCCCATCCATGGGATTTTGACTAACTACACATATAATTGCAACCCAAGCAGTCTTCCGCAGGACAAAAACTCAGTTGTCCTTGCCTTTTTCAAAGTTGTATATGTCCGGGCTTGTGTAACGGAGTCAACGTATTAAAAGTCTCTCTTTTTTTTGGCTATAAGATTAGGAGAGCAGCGACTGAACTTGATGAGGAGATCTATATAATATAGTTTCCGGGTCTTTATAAGCATTATCAGGATTCATCACAGCTGCATACAGTTCACTGTAAGCTCTGCAGATCAATTCTGTGGATTGTTTTATTATCTGTTGCCTAAAACACAACCAAGGTTAGACATATAAACATACAACTGATGACAGAAAGTGTCTTGATGATAGAAAGTGTCTTGATGTCCCCTTTCTTTGCAGGAAGAAAAAATGTAGGCCATCCTAATAGCCTCCTGCCTCTACTCACTATAAATGAATACAACCTCTTGCAGTAGACAGAGGACAGATGCTCTTGGGCAGCAATGGCTGGAGGGCCTGAGGGTCTACTCTACACTGTACAGGGCTTTTCAACCTTTTCACCCATTGTACCACTTTTAGGATATGGCAACATCCGAGTACCACCAGCCGCCTAGCAAGGTGTCAAAAACTTGATGACCCCCCCCCAAAAGGAAAAAAAGTGATAAAGTACAGGTAGTCCTCAACTTACAACAGTTTGCTTAGTGACTGTTCAAAGTTACAATGGCACTGAAAAAAGTGCCCCCCAAGACACAGCCGAACAAGACACCTGCCTGCCCACCCGGCGGCGCTCTTCCTCCTGTCTGAGGTTTCCATTGTTGTGAGCATTTCTGCTGAGGATTGGCAGCGGGGGTGGGGTGGGGGGTGTTTGGTTTTTATTCCCCTTGTCTGCTGGGTGGTTGCAGCACGTTTTGGTCACTTCATATGACCCTGGGACACTGTGACCGTCATAAATATGAATCAGTTGCCAAGCATCTGAATGTAAATCACAAGACCCTGGAGATGCTGCAACATTCCAGCTGATCGGCACTTCTTCTGGGCTCAGCAGAAGCACCAGGATCAGCGCCGAGCTCCAGCTGGAACCTGGCACTGATCCTGGCTCTTCTGCTGAGCCCTGACAGCCCTGCAGCTCCAGCCATCTCTCGCTCAGGCTTGTGCGGTGCTGCCACTAGTTCAGCTCATTTCCCTCCCCCGCTACCACTTTTCTAGGATGGTCACGTACCACCTGCCAGGTGGCAATGTACCACAGGTGGTACCCGTACCACTGGTTGAAAAGCCCTGCTCTACACAATGCAAAGTTATGTGACTTCTGGGCCCAACTTCTTCCCCCAATTATTCAGCAGCAGTGCAAGGGTTGTGTCGTCACCTCTGAAACAGCCACAAGGTAAAGTCTTTTTTTAATGAATTTTTATACACCCATCCCTATTAATGATGATGATGATGGAAATAAACTGCCGTGATCAGTTTAATCATTCTTCTGGGATTGCCTCCCCCCCCCGAATGTCCCTTTTCTATATAGGTACAGTATACAATTCGCAGCTAAACAGGTGGATGCAGCCCTCAAACAACTGGTTAGATGTAAAATAGCTATGCAAGCAAAAATAAAAAAAATGGCCACAACCAACTTCCTGGCAAAATTAGTGCAGGATACCCATTGAAAAGAAGAGTTTTTCAGCCAAACAACCTGTTTCCAAAATGGGTCCTGCTGCCTGCCTCACATAATAAGAACAGACTATGAATCAGTAAGCTGTCATCCTCTAGTGTATCGGCCAGTCAAGGGTGGAGCACCATAAACATGCTTAGTCCCCAAATCAGCCCTCTTATGTTTGAGCCTTTGACCGTGATTCTTACATGACTCACACGCAAAGGAAAACAATGAATCCTGATCCTATCAAAGGCAGGAAAAAGAAACACTTTACTTACTTAACAGTTGTGCTCAGGAGAAAGTTTATCTGTGGCATTAACAGACCATCAGGGGCAGACAAATAACGATCAAACTGGACCTGTCACACAGAGAAGGGCAGATGTTAGTCAATGTGTTGTCCTCAAAAAACAGGCCCACTGCTCAGGAGGCAAGAATTGGACCCAAACCTTCTCCAAATGTATTCCAATGCTCCAGGGAGGAAAGGATCTGGAAACACAAAAAGACTGCTGACACCCAATATACTTCAACCAAAACTAAGCTGTAGCATGGAGATGCTTCACCCTAGCCCAGCACTTGCACTAGGTGTCAATCATTTGTATGAGGAAAGAGGGTCAGTCCAGCCTATCTATTCTTGTTCTTTCTGCTCTCTTCTCATTTGCCTCATTCTAATCACTGCTCCTTCTTATATGGGTTAGATTACCCTCACAGGAAAAAAAAATCCCTGGTCCTTAATAATAATAATAATAATAATAATAATAATAATGATGATGATGATGATGATGATGATGATGATGATGATAAAGTTGGAAGGGACCTTGGAGGTCATTTAGTCCAACCCCCTGCTCAGGCAGGAAACCCTATACCATTTCGGACAAATGGCTGTCCAGTTTCTTCTTAAAAACTTCCAGTGTTGGAGCATTCACTGCTTCTGGAGGCAGGTTGTTCCACTGGTTAATTGTTCTAACTGTCAGGAAGTTTCTCCTCAGTTCTAGGTTTGTTCTCTCTTTGGTTAGTTTCCACCCGTTGCTTCTTGTCCTGCCCTCAGTTGCTTTGGAGAATAGCTTGACTCCCTCTTCTTTGTGGCAGCCCCTGAGATATTGGAACACTGCTATCATGTCCCCCCTCGTCCTTCTCTTCATTAAACTAGACATACCCAATTCCAGCAACCGTTCCTTATATGCTTTAGCCTCCAGTCCCCTAATCATCTTCGTTGCTCTTCTCTGTACTCTTTCTAGAGTCTCAACATCTTTAATTGTAATCCTTAAAGTCTATAGATATCAATTATTATTATTTTTTCCAATTTGAATTAAATTATCAACAACTGTCAAACTTAAGACATATCTTGAAGTGACACAGTCCAACTTTTGCCTTAGAATGCAATTTCTGAAGTCTCTTGTGTTATAAAACAATACCAAATGTACTATATCAAAATAACGTATTTGAAAAAACCTGATATGAAAATGAACATGAAATCTGAATCAATGTTATGTCTTCCTTCACATTACAGGAAAATTTATGGCTCTGTAGTGGGTTGACTAGAATTAATTAATTTAGATTGATTTAGAATTAAATTCTAAAATTCCTTTACATTACAGTGAAATGTTACACACCTCTGAGTTTCCATGATTTATTAAACCCACAGACCCCCCCCCAAAAAACAGGAACTGAACTTTAAGAACACCTGGCTTCCTTTTTGCTTTTTTTTCCTTTCTCTTATTTCTAAACTTTTAGATTGAAAATGCCTTGGAATACAAATTAGCCCTCTAATATCTAGAGGAGTATCTTATAAACAGTCATAATGCAATGACAAAGAAACTAAAACATCCACTCTCAAAATCCTATCACAGTTTTCCTCTCTTCCCCTGTACAAGACAGCTGAAAATGATTTATCTCACCATTGCAGCTTTTAATGACATAGAATCCATACTGGGTACATTAGCCAAGGGACCCTAAAATTAAAGGAGAGATAAATAAATGAATAATTACTCAGAATCAGTGTTTTAATAAAATCAAGTCAAAAACTATTTTGCAACAAAGCCCTAAAACTGTAGCATGCTATGGATATTTATGGAATCATGCAATGATTATAGTGACTGAATTCTGGAGACCGCAGGTGCCACAAATCTCTAGATCAAAATTTGAAGTTAATAACTTACTTATCTGGTGAAAGAAAACCAAATTAAGAGCACTAAACAGACAGCCTATTGACTTTATGGAGGACAACTGACACAAATCCACTGACTAATCATGTTTTTGTGGGTCTCTTCATGAAGAATTGTCTCGTGAAAAGGAAAAGAGTATGGTTTTTTTTTCTAAGTTCCTAAAGCAAAATAAAATGTGAATTAAGGAAACTTTAAATAGAAAGAAAGCACAATCTAAAAGAGAGAGGGGAAAGATGATCATTCAGGCCATTTGTGAGAATTTAGAATGTAGGACATGTGATCAAAATTCTAGATCAGGGCTTTTCAACCAGTGGTACGGGTACCACCTGTGGTACATTGGCACCTGGCAGGTGGTACGCCACCATCCTAGAAAAGTGGTAGCGGGGGAGGGGAATGAGCTGAACCGGTGGCAGCAACGTACAAGCCTGAGCGAGAGACGGCTGGAGCTGCAGGGCTGTCAGGGCTCAGCGGAAGCGCCAGGATCAGCGCCAGGCTCCAGCTGGAGCTGGGCGCTGATCCTGGCGCTTCTGCTGAGCCCTGAAGAAGCGCCGATCAGCTGGACTGTTGCAGCATCTCCAGGGTCTTGTGATTTACATTCAGATGCCTGGCAACTGATTCATATTTATGACGGTCACAGTGTCCCAGGGTCATGTGAAGTGACCAAAACCTGCTGCAACCACCCAGCAGACGGGGGGGATAAAAACCAAACACCCCCCCACCCCACCCCTGCTGCCAATCCTCAACAGAAATGCTCACAACAATGGAAACCTCGGACAGGAGGAAGAGCGCCGCCAGTTGGGCAGGCAGGTGTCTTGCTTGGCTGTGGCTTGAGGGGCACTTTTTTCAGTGCCATTGTAACTTCGAACAGTCACTAAGCGAACTGTTGTAAGTCGAGGACTACCTGTACTTTATCACTTTTTTCCTTTTTTGGGGGGGTCATCAAATTTTTGACACCTTTCTAGGCGCCTGGTGGATGTTGCCATATCCTAAAAGTGGTACAATGGGTGAAAAGGTTGAAAAGCCCTGTTCTAGATGATCAAAACTGGGAGATCAGGCAGATCTCTTAATCCCCCAGTTTTAAGAAGGTCAGAGAAAAACAACATTACTTACAGTAGTCTGGATCACTTTATAGCACAAAACTAGAGCGTGTGTTATAGAATTCTGTAGTACGACTTATTAAACAAACCAGCAAAAGCAAAATTGAGTATATCACAATCAAAAAACTCTATCAGCTTATGAATTAGAAAGTTACACTGTTTTTCACAAGATGGCTTGGTGCACTCAAAACTAAAATAATGCATTTCTTTTCATTATTCAAAAACTGCCAAGGACACCAGTAACCACTGCTTATCTTTTTGAATGGAAGGTTAAAAAAACCTAATATAAAATTACAAACAAAGCAAATTCCTGGTCATGTGTGGGTAACCAAACAGAGACAACTCTATCTAATACAAGTTAAAACTTTAAATAAAATTCCAACCACTGAAATCCAATCTATTCTTCTGTGTCTTTTTCAGATAGGTCAGGGTCTCATGATTGCCTTAAAAACATACTTGTTGACATCCTTTTGAGGCCTCCTAAAATCTTATGAATAATCTATCTTCCTCCCAGTGTGTTTAGATTGGGTCCCCTTGGAGTTATTTTTTATTAAATAATTCTATCTGCAAGTCTGATTTCATTTGGCTGAAGAACAACTTTAAATGTATTAAAATGGAAATGATATTACCATAACTAATTTTGATAATATGAAACTGGGTCTTGTCTCTCACCAAAATCTTAAAAGTCTTAAGATATTTCTGTTCCAACAAGAACTTACTTGGTTATTGATTCTGAAATTCTGAATTATATTTATCTCAATATGATAAACTTTGCCTCAGTGAAAGTGTAACCTTAATATCTCCTGTTTCACACCCATGCTTATGCTTATGCCAATGTAGAACAGGCATGTCAAACTTGCGACGTCACGTGACGTATCAGGACTTTCCCCCCCATTGCGGGCAATGGGGTGGGCACGGTTTCATCCTGACGCATCCGGCCCATGGGCCGGCAGTTTGACATGCCTGATGTAGAGCAAAATGCTCTATCATATATTGTTCCTGTGAAGGAGCATGAAGATAACTCATTGATGAAGGAATGCAAGAAATGTTAAGAGGAAATAAATAACAACTCAGTTCTAGAACAGGAAAAGCGTAAAAAACAAATGCAAGTTAACCCTGTCTTAACTGTTTTGTTTGGTGTAAGAAGAGGGTGAGGGAAATTCCTGGGGGCTTTCAAGATTCTGTCATTACGGCCTGCAACAGTAAAGAAAAGTAACATTCCTGAAATCTTTACTCTGTATGCTTTCCTCACCTGGCCTACCTTGAAGGGCTGATCGTTACAATGCAATGTGCTTGATTGCGCTTGACTCCATTATAAATAAAGTAGCCAGAAATAGATAGCCTCCCATTAGGCCACCCTTTCAATTATGATGAATGGGCTCCAACAAGCAAGGATTCTAAGCCAAATTGAAAGCAATGATTTCACTAGCTTACAAATGCAAATATATTTGGACATATTAGTGAAGGATGAGAGAAGAAAAGAAGTGAATGAAACAAGCGTGAAAGTAGAAGACTGCAGTAAGAGAAAGTACAAGCCATGTATGAAAATGAATTAGAGCAGGGCTTTTCAACCAGTGGTACGGGTACCACCTGTGGTACATTGGCACCTGGCAGGTGGTACGCGACCATCCTAGAAAAGTGGTAGCGGGGGAGGGGAATGAGAGCGCCGCCGGGCAGGCAGGCAGGTGTCTTGCTCGGCTGTGCCTTGGGGGGCACTTTTTTCAGTGTCACTGTAACTTCGAACAGTCACTAAGCAAACTGTTGTAAGTCGAGGACTACCTTTTTATCACTTTTTTCCTTTTGGGGGGGGTGTCATCAAGTTTTTGACACCTTGCTAGGCAACTGGTGGTACTCGGATATTGCCATGAAAAGCCCTGGATTATAAGATTGGAAGCCACCCAGAAGATGGGCAGCTATATTGTTTTAAATAAATAAACAAGCAAATAAAATAATCTCAAATTAGTACAAGGAGAGTGGTTACGGAATGCTGTTTAGAACAGACAGAAAAATGTTATGCTACAGAGTGCCTCAGGTTAATGAGTGTGAATATAAAAAAAAGGAGTTTATTTTTATTTTATTATAGAAAAAGCAACAGGCTTGAATTATGGAGAGTTTTGTGTGAGTGTGGAGTTGAAGGCTGGTCGTTAAACTTCCACGATGGAAATAAAGTATCTATGAACATAAATGGAATGTTTAATGAGTGGTTTAACATACAGCAAGGTGTACACAAGAAGCGAGGATGTCCCTTTGATTGATTAAGATATTTATGGATATGCTTGTAGCAATGGAAAAATGTGTTTGTTGGGGCATGAATATAAGTGCACTTTTGTATGCAACCACAGTGTTAGCTGAGGACTCAAAATTGTATTTGTAACAAACCTGGGGAAATGTTTATTATGAGAATGGAAAAACAGACAGAAAAATTGTACTATGTATGAATTGTAGCAGAAAGATAGTAGACAGTATGTGCCCCGATGTAAGGAATGAATGTTTATCAAAAAGAAGCAAAAATGGCTATGTGGGACTGCCATGACCGAAAGGAGATCATGCAAATTATTGTTGGATGGCACTGGTGAGTTCCTCAAAAAGAGGGAAGAGAGATTAATGAAAGGGCAATGTATTACTATGTGGATGAATATGCTGCAAGCAAGAATAATTGGCAGCTGTAAAAACGCGTGGAGATATATAATGAATTGTGTGGGTGTAAATCAAATTTAGCTCTATTTTTTTATTCTTATCTCATGCCTTTAATTTTGGGGGGGCTTACTATCTCTTACTCTCTTTCTGGGTTTTGCAAAATATTGCTTGCCATGAAAGGAAATAGTATGATGGGTTTGCATGTAGGTAATGATAGCCATGCACATAACAACTCCTTTTTGAAACTAAAGCTCTCAGAAATAATTGTCCTTCCTGCTAAAGAAAAAAAACACCAGGAATTCTGAAGTATCTATTTAGATTACAACTCAATATAGTAGACTTACATTTGCAGTTCAGGTTATCCAACTGGATGGAAATATTGGCTGAACAGCTATAGGAGTCTCCAAGTAACACAAATATGCAATCAAAAATAAGCAATTCAGTAGCACTTACTCAGTACTGTGACAGTATTTGCATCTCATAATTGTCTATGAAATAGCTAAGTAACAGAGCCATTTGGCTAGTGTGTTGTATATTCCCATGGGCTCCTTCCAGGAACAGGCAGAATGGTGTATCTTCCACCGAGGCTTATAAACCATTCCCAATGGTTGAACATGTTACTCAAATGTAGAATGGTGGGAATTGTAGCAGGTTTCTTAACCATGAGTATATTTCGCAGCCTAAAGTTGTTCACATGAAAAGCATAAATGCTGGGCAAAACACATCAACAGAGACTTGTCAGAAATGGGTATTGATATTGAAAGTTTCCAAAATTATTGCTCACCTGCTCCGTCTTGTGTTGCTGTACCATGTTATAAATATAATTTAGACCCACTCTAGTTAATACGTAAGACGCTTGTTCGTTTATAAGGGTATCCAAATGTGCTTCAATCTAAAATAAACAGTGAATTTTCACTTACTGCGAAGTATTTAGAATTATCATATTTAATTTATTTGGCACAATTAAAAAAAAATAAACTGGCAATGAGTTTCTATAAATTACATGTTACGAGTCTATGGATATGTAAATTCAATCTCCCAGCTAGATTTTTATGAAGTTTTGAATTGTACCATTTTTCACAATCATCCTATAAGTGTTACAGTGGCAATTTGCACAAACTGACTAGCCACAAAGTTAATTCCATAGCGAAAAGTTTTTGGGGACCTGTGTCTGGAGATGGAGAAAGCATCAATGAAGAGTGCACATTTTTTAAATTTAAAAAAAATCCAACAATATTGTTAAATTAACTGCCAAAGATGAAATAGGAGGAATACATAAATGATAAATTGTATTTTTCACTAATGGACATAATCTTTATCAAAACCCATGTATGGTCAGCAAAGTAACCTTACTTGTAAATGACTGCTATTCTCCAAAATGGATGAGAAGTATGCTTTAGATTCAATATTGAGAACAATTCATCATATCTATTTATTATTTTTAGTATCACAACAGGCTCTGTTCAGATAGTATCTTAGTTTAGTTAGCTGATTCTATTGTCTACATAGGTAGCTCCCTATCTTTGCATTTTCTCTGGCCTTAGAAACAACAATAAAAGTTGGAGAAGGGCAAATTCTTCTGTGCATCAAACAGCTGTTTTGCAATAACCCATGCCCAGATTGAAATATGCATATTTCAGACAATATATAGGACAAACGTGGGTGTTTTGTTCCAGGTAAAAACTGATAAATTACTTTGCGGGGTGGTGGTGGATTAGGACAAAGCCAAGGCCCAAAGTTTCCTTGCAGACAACATCGGGGAGGGAGACAAAAATAATATTGGGAAAATTGGGATGTAAATAGGCTGGTGGGATTTTCTGTGCCCAGATATCATTAGTAGTTGAGAGAAGACAAGGAAGTATATTTGTATGGAGTTGACCACCATTACATAAATATCAGCTTAGCTCTTTAAGAGTCCATGGGGTTAAGAAAAAAACCTTCAAGATTACCCCCTAGATCAGTGGTGAACCTATGGCACGCATGCCAGAAGTGGCACTCAGAGCCCTCTCTGTGGGCACACGCGCTATTGCCCCAGCCCCACTTCCCCCCTCCTCACCAGCAGCCCCCCGGAGGACAGTCGCCGCCGGGCACGGTCCACGTGGGGCAGCACAGCCAAGGACATGGCAGCTGGGCAACAGGGACAATACTCTGCCCTCACGCCGCATTGCGTGCAGATGATGCTGCAGGGCGCGGGCGGAGGGCGTGGCTGCCATGGTGCTGCAGGGCTGGGCAATCTGCGGTGGGCCATGGAGGCGGTGGGTGGCCCTATGGGTGGACGGGGCAGAGTGGGGGGGCGGAGTATGGGCGGGGCAGTTTTTGGGCACTCGGTCTCTAAAAGGTTCGCCATCACTGCCCTAAATTCTCTTTAGCTTAAGAGGGGAGAGAATCCTTGTCAAGCTTTTAAGAGAACGTTATTGTACTTTAGTGTAAAGAATCAGGGCCATGACCGTAAGGCAGGGGTCTTCAAACTCGGCCCTTTTATGACTCATGGACTTCAACTCCCAGAAGTTTGAAGACCCCTGCCGTAAGGAAAATAGGCAAGAACTGTTATATTAGCAAAAACTGTAGGAATATTCTTTAAGTCCCAGGAAACAAGATGGAAGAGTCTCGGGCAGACTCCTTCGTGATTCATTGGGCTACAACAAGGAGAATAAAGCATAATCAGGATAAAGCATAATCAGGTTTTTAAGATTGTGTTGCTATAGTTTATCTCAATAAAATATAGCCTTACTTTCCCTTTGGAATCTGATCTACCCCAAGGGCTGACATCTTAAAAGTAAAGCAAGGTGCCAATTGCTCATATGGTGTCTGCTTTCTGACCTTGCCTACCTCAATGGGTTGACAGGAGGGAAAGCACTGGGAAGCCTGGAATGCAGGAGACTGAAGATAAATCACTTGGAGGAAGGGGGGGAGAAAGTGGAAGATGTGCCCTAATCTTGTGCTACTAACACAAGAGAAATAACACTAGGATCCTTCTAGGTTTTATTTCAATCAAAATCAAATCTCCATTTTTTTTGTTTCTGACGACAAAACATTTAATCAGAACTTTTGGGACATAGTGGTTTCTTTTTGGAGTTAGAAGCAAAACCTGTTTTCTGTTTTGCACAGACTCCTAATTAGATACAACCGGGTTTAATCATGACTAAAACAAAGGAAGAAACCATGGAGCTGCAAGCCACAAACTTGTTTGCATCTTGGCTTAATAAGCTGCTATAAATGTCATTTAATAAAGTTAATTGTAGGATAGATATAACCAGATAACCCCTGTAATTCAACCATCTATTGCCAAACACAACTCAATGATACCTGCTCCTCCCAGCTACCTTATAGCTTGATCTAGAAAAATCTAAGAATTTCATCTCATTTCAATGTAAAATTGTTTAAAAATGATACTTCCATCTCGTAAATTATCCACTGGATGGCAACTGCAATTTATGTGCGCTGTCATTTAAAAAAAAAACAAAACCAGCTTGCAAATATGGCTCAGCTTTTTACGTTTCACTGCTTTGCTGCATCGGGGTTCTTAACCCCCATTAATGATTTTTTTTGTGGCTGCATGCACCAGAGTGTTTACTTTAAATATAAAGCTGTGAGGATACACACATTTAAGAAGATTGTGTTGTATTTATTCCCTGTTAATGGTTAATGGCAAAGAAAACATCAGAAGATTGACTTTGGACGTTTACCTGGTATTGTAACATTTCTAGCCTTTTATCTGTGAATTCAAACAGAGCCAGCATTGTCTTCATCATATGAAGTGAATTCACCATGAAGGTTGCCATGTCAGCAGACCCCAAGTTACTGGCAGACACAGTGCACATCTGCAACAGGGGATCCAGCACACAAGACAGGACCTAGAAGAAAGCAGGAAGAGCAATATACTGACTCAGAGCAACTCTTGGGTATTTTCCCATTCTATTACTCCCCAAAGAAGGAAGTTAATGCTGAAGAAAAAAAAAGAAGAGTCTGCTGGCCTTTGAGCACAATTTCAGATGTTATAAATAAAGCACTACCAGCCGCTTGCTCTTCTAATTTCACATTTCAGTCCAGTGTGTTGCCAGCTGCTTATGCAACCACTTCTACATTTAGTTGGTCATGCTTATTTGTTAATGCCAGAAAAAGGATGTTGCATAGGAAAGTTGCGTAGGCATAGCCGGTCCAAAGCAGAAGTGATACAAACATAGATAGCTGATGAGGCTTGTAGTGTCCAAGCTATTCTGGGGGCGGGAAGGGGGGTGGAGGGGTGGAGCTTGAGGGAAGTTTCAGATTGCAAGAATGCAGTTTTAATGTAAATGTTCAAAACAGCTACCGACTCGTTCAGCATAGCAACAACACAGGCTGCTTGGCAAAGGTGGGGATCCTCTTCCCCCTTGGAAAACTCAACAAGCATCCACCAAGGTTGCCTTTTTAAGAGAGTGGGCTTTCCCACTGTCAATGGAGTCAGTATGCTTATTCCAAAACTTGATTTCTAGTGTTAAGAAAAAAAAAGCTAGAGTGCAGGTAGTCCTTGACGCATGACCATAAAGGTCATCATCATCATCATCATCATAGGTAGTACCAATAGTAATAGGTGCCTTGGGTGCAATCCCAAAACAACTTGAGCACCACTTGAACACCATTGGCATTGACAAATTCGCCATTAGTCAATTGCAAAAGGCAGCCTTACTAGGAACTGCTTCCATCCTGTGACGATATCTGTAATACCATCAAATAATATCTGTAATACCACATCTGCCTATCCCAGGTCTTTGGTAAGGACTCCATAGGTAGACAAAATGCCAAATCCAGTCTGAACACCAGGCTGACTGTGCGATGATCCATAATAATAATAATAATAATAATGATAAAGTTGGAAGGGACCTTGGAGGTCATCTAGTCCAACCCCCTGCTCAGGCAGGAAACCCTATACCATTTCAGACAAATGGCTGTCCAGTTTCTTCTTAAAAACTTCCAGTGTTGAAGCATTCACCGCTTCTGGAGGCAGGTTGTTCCACTGGTTAATTGTTCTAACTGTCAGGAAGTTTCTCCTTAGTTCTAGGTTGCTTCTCTCTTTGGTTAGTTTCCACCCGTTGCTTCTTGTCCTGCCTTCAGGCGCCTTGGGGAATAGCTTGACTCCCTCTTCTTTGTGGCAGCCCCTGAGATATTGGAATACTGCTATCATGTCCCCCCTCGTCCTTCTCTTCGTTAAACCAGACAACCTTTTTTTTTGAGGTGTTAAACAAACCACCATAGTCATTAAGTGAATCTGTGGTCATTGAGCAAATACTGAGGTTGTTAAGCAGACCTATTGTTTGCTATGGGGTATTTTAGCCAAAAAATAGAAATGCCAATTTTGGGCAAAAACCTAATAAATCACAGTGCTGTTGACAGCGGGATGCTGCAAAGACCTATTATTACATGTAGGCCAGTTGTCAAGCACCCAAAATGTGGTCACATGTCTGAGGGGAGGGAGGTTGGAACTTTGGAACTGGATTTTAAGTACCTTTGGGGGAGGATTCATTGTAACTTTGAACAGTCGCTAAGGGACTGGTCGTATGTCAAGGACTACCTGGAGCCCAATTTACACAACTTAAATTTTAGAAAATGACAGCGTTAAACCAAACCTACAAAATGTACTTCAACCAATTGGAAGAAAGGCTATTGCTAGAGAAAGGTTAAGTACATTATTTCTTCTGGAGATTCTGTAATTTAGCTTTAAAAATGAGCTCAGAGAAGTTAGTATCCGCCAACAAACGCGTGTATTATTCTACTAAGAGACGGAATGGAGCCTGATCTTCTGGGTTACAGGAGAGAAGAGGCTGACAGCTCTCTTCCTGAGTTTAGAGAACGGAGAAAGAATTCCAGAGCATCGGAGTAGCCTGCTTTTGTAGCCAGAGAGGAGGAGAGAAAAGTAAAATGTAAAATTTGAAATACGGAAGCAAACACCGCCATCTTCTCCGCATCCTCAGTAAAACCGCTGGCAATTGGCAGGATTACATTCATACACATAGTCTACAATGAAATTAATTTACTTGTCCAAAGTCTGTTTGACGATTATCCAAAGGAATAACACAAGAGTCGTGGGATGCTAGTACTTCACGCAGCAGAGCAAGTGTTTGATTCAGTGCAGGACCTGGACCAAGATCTGCAGGTGGCAGTTCAACCTACAAAAGAAGCCAGAATTTCTGAGCTCAGAAGATGTGTTTATACTGAAGCCTAGGTACACAGAGGAATACAACGGTAATCAAAAACGCCACGAATAAATATACAGTATATGGATTATTAGAACAATGTTCTCCAATCTGGTGTCCTTTAAAAGATTTGGCCTTCAACTCTTAATAATTTCCAGCTAATGTCGCCTTTCAGTTTGGGAAGATAATGGGGTAATACAACCTGAAAATGGTTACATACTGTATACTTGTCTGTTTACAATTTTTGTAATCTACTCCAATCCAAAGAATCTGGCATCACCTAGACAAGCTAATATGAAATCTTTAAGCAAACATGAAATCTAGAAGGCTCCAGATTGGGGAAAAGAAATTACGGTACAACTTTTAATATATAAACAACAATCCTTCCACTCCCACCTTCCTTGAAAGAAAGAAAAAAGTGGAAAAAAGGAAGCCATGTTGCCAATGTCAGTCAATCAGGTTCTGTCATGCCTTCAAACAGCCCACCCCCCCAAGCTGCTTTTGCTTTGGGTGCCACCTCTGTAAAAGTGGCGACTACAGTGTAGAAACGAATTGGAGAACAGGATAGATAAGATTTGTGACTGACAAGCATGCTGATTGACACAAGAAACAGAGGTATGTAATGCAAAATAAATAAGTTTGGAGATCACTTCCCGGCAAAGCACAGATCAGGTTTCCCAAATTATTGTGCAAAGGATCTGTTGCTGATTAAAAAATGAGAAATGCAGCCCTAAAGTCAGCCTTTGGTAGCCCTATATATTTAGCAGAAGAGTACGTATGTAAACTGTTTTTCAAACAGACCTTATCCAGCAGTTTATTCGCATGGAGACTCAAACTATTGAAGAATATCTTTTTGCTCAAAAGGTGCATCTCTTCTATCGTAGTTAACAGCATGGCTGCACTGTTTCCTATAATATTACTGAAATTGAAAATAAAAAGTATGGATGTGAGAGAGGAAATAAAGAGATCTTATTGGATTCAGGGATTAGCAGGTGCAACTATTCCACTTAGGAAGAGGCTTTAAAACAAAAGGGAATTTATATTTTAAAAATGTCCATGCCTTGCAATAAAAAAAAAATGTCTTTCCCCTAAGTCCTTCCTTCCTATGTTTCTCAAGAGCCAGAAGGAAGTTCACCCTGGGAAAACTACTATCTCATCATGAAGCAAGACCGTGACTGAAGCTGGGAGAAAGTTGTAGGGGGGATAAAACACAATAAGCAGCACCCTCTCCATTCCAAGGTAAAGAAAATCTGCTCACAACTGAACAGATTTAAAGGACACTGAGACAAATGACCACCGTCTCAGAAATTCATTAGGTAAAAAACAAAGTTCCTTTTCTCCTCAGAAACAGAAAAGCGGGATATAATCAGGGTGGAATTTCAGAGCTGTACCAAAAGGCAGACCAATTTTTTTTTCTTAGCATTTTCCTCGAAGTGCAGTTTATTTCTTTTTTTCCTCTGAATCTTGATCTGCTGTTTCAAGTGCTGACCCACTGTTTGTGATAGGAATTAACCAACTGGCTTGTCACCCAAGCCTTATATAATAGGATATGAGAGAAAGAGAGAGAGAGAGAGAGAGAGAAAGAGAGAGAGAGAGAGGGAGGGAGGGAGGGAGGGAGGGAGGGAGAGAGAGAGAGAGAGAAAGAGAGAGAGAGAGACTGGCCCAAAGTCACTCAGCTGGCTTTCATGCCTAAGGCAGGACTTGAACTCACGGTCTCCTAGTTTCTCGCCTGGTGCCTTAACCACTAAGTCAAACATATCTCTAAAACTCCTTCCTAAAAGTCTGCCTTGTTCAATAATACAGGAATACATTTTATACCGTTTGCTAAAGGTATCAACTGAGGCTCACCGCTCTCCTCTTAGGGACCTCTCCTAGAAGGCCACGGAGCAGCTACCTCTTCCCAAATCACATATTCCTACCTCTAGTTCAATGAGAGATGGAAGTATATGGAACAGTGAACAGTAGCTAATGGGAATTATCCAGTGAGGTTCCATAAAGTTCAATATTGTCACAGTTGGCTGTTTCAACCTGATCAGAAACAGCTGCTAAGTGCCGATGGCATCACGCCATGTAACAAATGAATATCTTTTCTCAACGCCAGATATTACATTGCAAAGCAGTACAGTGACACTATATTATGCTACAATGTAACGCTTGAACACAACCAGTTCTTCTCAAAACATATATTTATTTTTTTTTACGTTTGCTTACCTAATGGTGTGATGATAAAATTTGAGAAGATTAGAAATTTTATACAAAAGGACTGCTCCGGGTTCAGCTATGATCACCTGTTCAATTCGAACCTGAGAAAACATTTTAAGAACACGCTGTTCAAATGCACACTTCATCTTCGAGAAAATAACAATATACGATTTTAAAATTATTGTATTCCTTTTTTAGGCTAGCAACCTCTGCAGGGATATATTTTAAATACTGCACATTCATGATTCAATTTTGTTTCATATAATAATGAGAAATGCAATCTCCTTGGAAAATAAGCAATCCACAAGGTTCTCTTTTATGCAAGTAATTATGCTATATGTGTTACTATTTGTAAACTACTTTTTCAGTTTTTCCAGTTTTAATACCAAGGGCTTTCATAAAACCAAACATTTCACCTTGAGTGGCCGGCAAACACCTTCTGTGATGTGCCCAACTATTTCTTGCATATTTTCTTCCACTCCTGAAAATAAAAACAATGTATATTAAAAATAGGAATGTTAGTTCCTGTCGTTTAGACAGAAGAAATTCAGCCACGGTCTTTTCCCCCAAAACAGTGCTTCTCCTAAAATGGCTTAAAATTCCATTCTCCTGCAGCACTTGGCTTCACCCCGTATGTAATCTATAGCAGGGCTTTTCAACCAGTGGTACGGGTACCACCTGTGGTACATTGGCACCTGGCAGGTGGTACGCGACCATCCTAGAAAAGTAGCGGGGGAGGGGAATGAACTGAACCGGTGGCAGCACCGCACAAGCCTGAGTGAGAGATGGCTGGAGCTGCAGGGCTGTCAGGGCTCAGCGGAAGCGCCAGGATCAGTGCCGCTTTCCAGCTGATCGGTGCTTCTTCGGGGCTGTCAGGGCTTAGTGGAAGCGCCAGGATCAGCGCCAGGCTCCAGCTGGAGTTCGGCGCTGATCCTGGTGCTTCTGCTGAGCCCTGAAGAAGTACCAATCAGCTGGAAAGCAGCACTGATCCTACTGCTTCTGCTGAGCCCAGAAGAAGCGCTGATCAGCTGGAACGTTGCAGCATCTCCAGGGTCTTGTGATTTACATTCAGATGCTTGGGAACTGAATCATATTTATGACGATCACAGTGTCCCAGGGTCATGTGAAGTGACCAAAATCTGCTGCAACCACCCAGCAGACGGGGGGAATAAAAACCAAACACCCCCCCACCCCACCCCCGCTGCCAATCCTCAACAGAAATGCTCACAACAATGAAAACCTCAGACAGGAGGAAGAGCGCTGCCGGGCGGGCGGGCAGGCAGGTGTCTTGCTCGGCTGTGGCTTGGGGGGCACTTTTTTCAGTGCCATTGTAACTTTGAACCGTCACTAAGCGAACTGTTGTAAGTCGAGTACTACCTGTAATTTATCACTTTTTTCCTTTTTTTTTTTTTTAGTCATCAGGTTTTTGACACCTTGCTAGGCGACTGGTGGTACTCGGATATTGCCATATCCTAAAAGTGGTACAATAGGTGAAAAGGTTGAAAAGCCCTGATCTATAGGATAGAAAACTCCCAGATGAAATTCCCTTCCTTGGAATCTTGGTTCAGAAAATCTCAAACCCAGAGTTCTTAGCTTTGTACAATACCTTCTGTGGTTATGTGTTTCAAAAAAGCCTCCAGGTGCTCTTTTTCGGAAGCAGTAGCTTGATGCAGCCAAGCCAACATGTCTCCCACATATCTAAAGCCAAAAAAAATACTCTATTAAGAATAAATCTTCCTATTCGTAGTAATTAATGCTACACAATATGCATTGCCATAAGTAATGTACCTCAAAGGATCATGGGAATGCATTTCAATAGGTCGAGGTGTTCCTCCTGGACCGCCTCTAGTAAGAGCATCTATAAAGCCCCGGACCACAGCACTTCTTCTGGCTGTTCCAAATTCATCAAGGGTGTATCTACAATGGGGAAAAAATATGCACTTACAAATTGTGGACATTTTAGTTGCCCTCCTTAGTGATCAAAATGCCTTGTTGAATGGAAATGCAAGATTATGCATAAAATTCAATTTCCTAAATAATTTACCAGCAGATGCCCAACACCAACATATTTTTAATGGCCACCAAATCATCATGTGAAAACTTTGTGGTCATACTTCAGCATGCAAACAGAGGCTTATGTTTTACAACATAAGAAAACAAATGATTTATTTTGTTCAAACTATCATTTTCATTAGGATTCAATGTAAGACGGGAAATACCGGTAACAGAAATTACACAAACTAAAAAACATAGGCATTCAGGTCACTATCAAACTGCCTGAAAACAAGTAAAATGATTTGTTTACTTGCTTTCAAGCAGTGGATAATAAGCCCACTGGAACAAGTTGTAACTGTTGTTTGTTCTAGCAATAGCCAGGACAATTCTAGAAGAAACATTTAAAAGAAAGTATGCTATAAAAAGAGAAAGGACTTTTCTTATATATTAATATTAATATTTACATTAATAAACAACACAATTCCACTTTTAATTCCGTATCAATTCCATAATTCCAATTGTAATTATAATTCTGCAGAAAGCATCTATTGGAGGGGGGGGGGAAAACCCAGTCTACACTTTGATTCAATATCAAAATTCTAAGTTTTTAAAAATAGCATAATCATTTTGAATGGCTGCACTGTATGTTGTATGTGAATATTGCCTGATGCTTTATTGTTCTTGCCAAATGGATGAGGAGAACCCAAGGAGAAGTGACTGTAATTTTGGTGAGGCACTTGTTACCACTTTGGAATCCTTTGTAATCCTGAATACCAAGATCCTTTTCCAGTATTAAAAGTGAAGATTTTCACAGGAAGAAATGTCAACTGGGCACAAAAGTAAAGGAATATATTTGAGGAAAAATTACCTTCATTTCTAAGTTGCCTAAGGAATATACATATCATGTTGAGTGAGTTATGCATTTTAGTGAGGTACACTGTATCAAGATAAGGTAGCTGCTGCCCTGGACATGACAGACATTACAATATTGCCACCTTGTGGTAAATCTGAAATATATCTATATTCTTCTCACAAGATGTCAAAAAGAAAAAGATCAATTGTGTTACTCGTAATATCTAAATAATAAGCAATGCAAAGCACATCATTAGACTTCTGGGCCACTTCTACGAACGGCCTTCGTTGTGACCCCTAAAGACCCCTAAAAATTATCACTAATGCAAAAAGTAAGGTTACAAAGAGGAACCGAATGAAATAACTAGGGAAGTAATATTAACTGCATTTGATTGTTAATTAACGAGTTGGATTTTAATACAAATTAAATTAATTATTCTTGACTTTTACACTTCTTTCTTCTTCCATTTCTATTTTTGGGAATGTCACCTTTGGTATGTGATCCCCAGATTAAAAAAAATCTTAATTCATCCCAGCTTCCAGAGTGTGGTGGGGAGAGGAAATGGCAGATTGACGTGGCCCTATGAACAGTGGAGTCAATGTTATGGCAAATACCAGTAGCCTGGCATTAAATCCAGGAGACTGCTCATTTGTGTCCCAAAAGACTGTTCCTCAACAAGGAAGCCCACAGGCATCCCATGAATTTGATTGCCAGGAGGCATTGTGGGATAGACAGCCACAGGTCCGCCTACATAAAAACATGGGTTTGTACCCTCCACAATTTTCTTAAACCCATTTGGAAGACAATTGTCTTTTTAAGTTTAAAGTATCTTTGGAGTAGCAGAGTAATCAAACTACTAGGTGAATGTTCCTTTATCGTGGATTAAAGATAAGAACAAAGAAACAGTTTAAAGGATTTAAAAATAATTAAAATAATTACTTTAATAAAATAAGAAATAATTAAAAATGAAAAGCCTGCCAAGAGTTTAAACTAAGAAAGTTTAAAACTAAGGGGAGAGTTGAATCTGGAATTATTGACCAAAGTATTTTTGAAACAATTAAACAATGAATTATGTATTTCTCTGGGAAAGAGTTTTATTTGAATAGGTTAGCTTTGCAAAACAAAAGATAAGGAAAGTTGCTAAAGCCCATCTGACTATGAAACTATGGAACGTTGAATAGGACTAAGATTTAATGATCTGGAGAAAGAGGGAGAAAGGAGAAAAGAAAACGACTTTACTTCTATTTCCCCTTTCTCAATTGGAATGGCTCCTAGTAGAAAAGTAGTGAAACTTACAGAGATGAGAGAACAAGGTATTACACGTGAGACATTCCAAAGGATCTCTGAGGAACTGGGACACAAAGTTACAGCTACAAAATAATAGTATCAATAACTGTATCATTTAGAAGAGATCTGAAAGAAGAAACGAAAAATAATTCCGAAGAATCGGCAGGACAACTGAGTAGAGAGGCGAAACAAATTAAATTCAAGGTGGAAATTTTGGAAAACAAAGCAGCAATAATGGCAAGAGAATACAAATATCAAGTCAAGAGATGAAAAATAGGCAATGGACTATTACTGGATTTAGGAAATATAGAATCTTGTTTGAGACCAGGGGTACCTAGAGATCAACTTGGTGAAAACTGTAAAGAGAGCATTATTGTGGTCTAAAGATCATTCTGATATTATCAATCCTTAACTTGATATTAAGAGGTCATAGGACCTAATCTCTATCTCTATCCTATGACCTCTTAATATCAAGAACTGATAATATCAGAATACCGCCTAAGAAAAATGAATTCAAAATTAACTTGTCTGACCAGGTTAAGTATTTTTATAAAATATTGGAAACCTTTCATGGACTTTCTGCTGAAAATGGATTAACGACTGAGTTAATGATTTGGATTTGCCAATAGAAAAGGGTTGGAGATGGGAAGAAGCGATCTACAGTATGCAATGTAATTTCAAAGGGGAGGAATTTTGTTTGTTAGTAACAGCTCTAAAGCTTAGAAATCACTTATTTAAATATCTTTCTATTATCTATTTTTAAAAATTTTATGTATTTTCTATTTTTCTTTTCTCTATCTTTTTTCTTTTAATTTAATTTTTTTATTATCTTTTATTTTTGTTGGAAAAATTCAATCAAAATTACTTTTTAAAAAAAGCTAACCTGTGCCAAAAGTTCATACCCTTTTCAGACAGACAGACAGACAGACAGACAGACAGATTCAAGGCACTCAAAAGTTTGAAGGAATTAGTGAAGTTATGCCGACTAATATCAAACATTTTACAAAATACCCACAAACTCAAGTCTTTCCTCAACTTTAACAGTAAAGATAGTTTTCGACCTATGACCAGTCACTCACTCACTCAGCCACTGAGTGAGAACTGAACAAACAAAGGTTACAACCAGTCTAGGGATTTCTGGCTGTCTCGGCGTGCCCACAGCCATGGGATTGCAATCTGGCCACTTGGCAACAGGTTCACAGTTGCAACTGGATGCAGCACCCTGCAATCACGTTGAGCTCCTCTTGCAACTTTTCCGGATAGTCAATGGGACAGGGAAAGTTCCAAGTCACTTGGAATAAGTCCTCCCCGATTCTCACTGCACCTCCCTCATACCCTCTTTGCACACCCATGCATTCTTCCCAACCTGCACCCTCCCCAACCCATGCCTCTTGTGCACCCCTTGTGCACCCGCCCTGACCAAACTTCTCGCACATCCCAACACCCTCATGTGCATTTCCGACCTGCACCTCCTGCGCAACCTCACTTATCCTTCCCGATCCCCACCCCTCACACACCCGGTAGTTCCCCTCCCTATCTAGCAGCAGCCACTACCCTCCTTGCCAATCTGGGACTTGCAATTTCCTGCTGGCTTCCCCACTGACTTTGGTGATTTGCCTGAGCCACTTTCAAATCATTTACCAGTGCTCTATGGCAAATTCATGCATTTTCTCACTCTAAACCAGGGGTAGGCAACCTTGGCTCTTTTATGACTCGTGCACTTCAACTCCCAGAATTCCTTGAGCCAGCCCTGCTGAGGGGAAAGAGAGGTTTCCAAGCTGAGCCATGCTGGCTCAGGAATTCTGGGAGTTGAAGTCCACGAGTCATAAAAGAGCCAAGGTTGCCTACCCCTGCTCTAAACTAACTCTAAAATCCTAGGATATCTAACCAAAGCATATACCAATGACATTCCCAGCCAAACCTCCCAAATGTCCATGTAGTTCATGCAAACACCTTCTCGTTGTTTTGAGGACCTTTCTGTTATCTTCTTCCCAGCAGTTAGAATGTCCTCAAAAAGCTTCCATACATCTGTGTTTCAACAAACATCTGCAGAACTGGAGAGCTTTCGTTTCTCTAACTAACCCATTCGAAGCCTCCTCTCCTCTCCCTTAGGCTAATGACAAGAGGAAAACAATAAAGGCACGTAGCTGCCAAGTTTTCACTCTTGATGGGCAGCCCTTGTTTCTTAATTCTGGAGAAATTCTATCTAAAATGGTCACTTAGAATAGAGACCAACTTTATAACGAACACATACATCCCGACCATATTCGTATGAATTTTCTCCACTGTGTGCTTAACTATAGCAGGAACTTACTTGTACAGAACAGGCCTGTCTTGCAAAGCTTCCATTCCCTGAGCTAGGACTGGAGAAACATCACAGGTTTCTTGTGTTAAAGCCCTGCATTCACCTGTAAACAAGCCAACAGTCTCGTGTCAGTATTACTAAGGATTCGACAACGTTTCTCTCCTCATTTCATCGACGACATTGAACCCTAGAGAAAAAAATTGCATTTTTATAGACGCCAACGTCTGAATTCAGCTGCCCTGGTGAAGTCTGGTTAGATACAACTGTACTTTGCCACTCTGGCAGAAGCCCTCTGTATATTTAGGAGTAGCTGTCTACCCTTCACGTAGGTACTTATTATGGGAAATACAGCGACAGCCACAAAGTAGCTGTGGAAAACGCCATGGCTATATAAAACAAGCAAGGCGGGGATGCAGACATTTTCTGTCTAAAAACAGGCAACAAAATCAGACTTTTAGGGAAAGACAATGGTAGTGGTTGTTCATGTCTAGAAAGACAGAGGGGAAGAACATGTGCAAATTGTCTTCAAGCGGAAAAGCAATAGTAACAAACCATCAATATAAAAACCACCAATTTTAGGATGAGAGAACTGTATGACTGACAAAGCAGAAAAGTAAGAACTACATGACTAATAAAGCAGCTTTAAATTCTACTGTTATTTAAAAACAAGAAAATCATCCCTGCGTATCAAAATGTTATCTTCTTTAAATAAGCCCCGGTGGCACAGTGATTAGAATGCAGGATTGTAGGCTAACTCTGCCAACTGCCAGCAGTTCGATCCTGTCTGGCTCAAGCTTGACTCAGTCTTCCATCCTTCCGAAGTCGGTAAAATGAGGACCCAGATTGTTGGGGGGAAACATGCTGACATTGTAAACTGCCCAGAGAGTGCTGTAAAGCACTATGAAGCAGTACATGTTTAAATGCTATTGCTATCTTTTTTAAGTTACACAATATATGTTTCTAAACTTTGATTAACTCTGAAACCTAGGTAGATTATTAAGTACAGAAAAGTAGCTTCCGAGATTCCTAAATAGATTTCAGATTCAGCATATATTTGGAGCAAGTAGGAACTGATTTGCCAGAAACTGCCTTAATAATCCATTTTGAAGAAAATGTACTATTGAGATTGCTGTAATTGAGCATAGAGCAGAAGCAGGAGCTACCTTTACTCATGCTATACAGACTTCTAAAAGCCACCTATCTCCATCTACAACAGGGGTTCTCAACCAGGGGTGCTCGCACCCCCTGGGGGTGTGAAATAATATTCCAGGGGGTGCAAAAACTTGGGTTTTCAAAATTATAGTGTATATGCATAATTCGTTGCAGTTATTTCAAACTTTTGTACGGGGTGCGAGAATATATCAGAAGCATTTTAGGGGAGCGGGATATAGAAAAGGTTGGGAGCCGCTGATCTACAAGAAAGAATATTCAAATGAAAAAAATAAAATAATTATGATACCTTGTGCCCAACGATACAGCTGTTCATAAGACGTCTCCTGGAGGAGTGCCATCTGTTCCATAATCTCCAAACTGCAGGTTTAACATGTTTAAAGTCTTTACCAAAAAGTGAATAAAAGAAGCAAAAACATCTAAGCCCNGAAAAATGAGAATATACCATCAGAGGAAGAAGTGATAAAGAAAATCCTGGACTGTGCCGAGATGGACAAATTAACAAAAGAGATAAAAGAAAAAGAAGACACAGAATATTATTTAATATGGAGCAAGTGGTATGTCTGGCTAGAAAGTAGAAATAAGAGGGAATAATTGTGGAAAAGTTAAACGTGGAAAATGTGTATAAAATAATGTATGAAGGAAGAAAAATGCAAATAAGAAATAATGGGGCAATAAGGATAAATACTTTAAAAAAGAATAAGGGGGAAAATGTAAAAAATAGAAGAATACTGTCACGAAGTTGATGTTAAAATATATATTGTGTGTATATGTGTATTATGTTTTGTTTTGTTTTGTTTGTCGGTTTAAATAATAAAAAATATTAAAAAAAAATAAAATAAAACTCAAAATAGGGTATTACAAAATAAAATGGGTTTAAACTTGAAACATTTTGTACATTTATAGCATAGAGAGAAGCAGCTTCGTACACAGAGGATCTGAACTGTGTTTAATGTATGTTACTTTAGATGGTGATAAAAATATATTGGTTTTGCTCTCTTTTTTAAAATAGTGATGACAATATATATATTAGGGAAGAAAATAAAGAACAATAAAACCTTAACAAAAAGAGGAAAAGAAATATAAGAAAAAATTGTTATATTGGTATGTCAATATAATAATAGTTACAATTCTATCCATATTTGTCTAATGCAAATATTCAAGTATGTAAATGTTTCTAATATATTTACTGTATATGATTATTTTTTAAAAAAATTATATTCTGTATGAGAGAGTCCCATATTTCATTATAATTGTCTATACAAATTCTGTAAGTGTAATCTGCTCATGAGTGGCAAATGCCATTAGGTCTTCATTGGTTTTGCTCCCTTTGGAAACAGGCTCTTCAAACATGAGGGACTAAGGAAGACACCATCTCATTGTATATTGGATGACTGTGAATTCAGAACTATCATTCAAAAACATACAATTTAGAAACCAAAGTAAACTGACTTCACCCATTCCAAACTTATTCAGTGTTGTATTCCAAAATAGGCTATACGGAGCCAGAGTTTTGTAGTGTGAAATAAAGATTGCTGTACAGCATACTTGTTTTGTGCCTTATCATTTGCTGCTGTGACTAAAGGTTAAGCATCCCAATAGCATTTTATTGCTGTTTCCCTTTGTTTTGATAACAGTCTCTGTTTGAAGCTGATTATTTTATTAGATACAATGGACTAGCAACAGGAAAGAGAAGAAACATGGAACAATATCACTCAGGTGGGCAATTACACAGTAGGCAATTACAATCTAAACAATGATTTCCAAGGATACAACTAAACAGTATTATATAGTATCAAGCTATTTTCACCACTTCCACACTGGACATTGCGAATATCAGTCATGGCCCTCCTGTTCACAAATGATTATAATCAGTTCTCATGTTATGAACATTTCTTTGTCTCCTAACTACTCCCATCTCTGGATTACAGAAGATTCTTTTATGTAGGCTCTTCTAGCCAGAATCTTTGTAAAGGATAGATTTAAAAAAAAAAAAAATTCCGCCCTTATATGTCTGCTATGGAACGTTTTACTGCAAGTAGCACAATTATTCCTATTATCCAAAGCGAAAATGGTGATCAGAAAAGGAAGTCTTTTTATTCAATATACCAAAGGAGGTCACCGTATGTATTTTAGAGTGCTTACTTCAGTAACTGGCCGATCTCTGGTGCTTCGAAGGACGTTCATCTCCTCTGGAGAAAGTTGGAATTCTGCTATGAAGGCATCTGCTATGTGTGCTTTTAATTCTAACCTTTGGCTGCAATATAAAAAAAAATTGATTCAGTTCATGATCATTATAATTTATTTCGCATAGGCTTAGGACAGTGGTTCTCAACCTGTGGGTCGGGACCCCATTTGGGGTCGATCGACCATTTCATGGGGGTCGCCAAGCAAGGCTGTCCGCCATTTTTTTTGTCCGCCATTTTTCCCCCCTTTTCCGGCGGGTGCCTTACCTCCCTTGGGCTGGGCCAGCTGGTGGTCGGCCTGCTCCGTCTCTGCCGCTTGCCACCTACGCCTCGGCCGGCGCAGGGGGCGGAACCACGCATGCGCGGCGCTCCTGGGCAGGGAAAGTCCTCGACTTACGACCGGTTGGGTAGTCCTCGACTTACGACCGGTTTAGTCCTCGACTTACGACCGGTTTAGTCCTCGACTTACAACCGGTTTAGTCCTCGACTTACGACCAGTTGGGGTCGCGGCATTAAAAAGGTTGAGAACCACTGGCTTAGGAGGTGGCAGCCATTCAAGCAGGAAAGTCTTAGACCAGGGGTAGGCAACCTTGGCTCTTTTGTGACTCGTGGACTTCAACTCCCAGAATTCCTGAGTCAGCCATGGCTCAGCTTGGAAACCTCTCCCTTTCCCCTCAGCATGGCTGGCTCAGGAATTCTGGGAGTTGAAGTCCACGAGTCATAAAAGAGCCAAGGTTGCCTACCCCTGTCTTAGACAGTGCACTTTCTTCTTCGGAACAGAGGAAGAAAAAGGAGATGGACATAAGGGAGAGTAGGAGGTTATACGGGTAGTCTTTGACTTGAAACCAAAACTGAACCCAAAATCTTGGTTGTTGAGCCAAGTGGTTGTTAAGCGAGATGACACAAGTAGTCTGTGTCATCTCCCTTAACTGCCCGTGTGGCTGCTTCACTCAGTGACTTCAAATCCAGCAGTCCCATCTGTGGTTGTTAAATGATCCTTAGGTTGTTAAGCGCAAGTCCCAAATAAGAAGCATGCACTGCCTTGGGGAGGGGGGGAGGGGAGGGGAGGCCCAGCTTCTGATTTTTTAGCTTCTGTGGGGGAAGAGATACTTTTATGTGGCCTGTGCCAGGCCTCACCGGGCCTCCCCCGCCCCAAGGCACACTGCGCTGCTTACTTTTGCAGCTCTACCTATCATGCTGCCTTTATTGTTTATGGGAGGGAACTCTCCTTGACAGTGGGGTACAGAAACAGAACTCATCAGAATGTGAGCCTGAGTTCTGCAATCCGCAGAAGGATGTCACCTCTCCTTTGCGTACGGAAGGGAATTTCTCCCAAGGGGTGCAGAAACAGGATTTAAATTCATCCGGAACCGAGCTCCATTTTTGCACCCCACGAGAGCCTGTCACCTCTCCTCTGGGCTCGGAAGAGAACTCTTCCAAGGGTTCAGAAGCAGAGTTCAAATCATCAGGGTCTGATGTCAAATGATGGCTTCTGTTTTCGAAAGTGTTTTTTAACATGAAATAAGTTCCCCCCAAAAAACTTTTAATGTTATCATTTGTTAAAAGAGACATAGGCATCCAGAATACGGACATTTTATCCACTTAAAAATGGTATACAGCAATTCAGAATATACATATATGTCTCTTAGAACAGCACACATGAACAACAAGGAAGGAATCCATGAACAAACAGGAGAAAGCAGCTGATTAATAAACTAAATGTCTGGAAATACTTGACAGTTTGTGATTGTTCAACCAGCCTCAAGTTTATATCTAATTACTGGTTTCATTAAAAAAAAATCACAATTTTTGAACCACTCACAACAAGCATTTACCACGTGTATTTGTACTTAAAAGTGCAAAAGCCATGTTATTGGAAGGGTCAGGGCCAATAAATGGAGGACTTTGTATCAGAACATACTTTGTACATTATTTTCAGATTTAAAAAATCCAGTAAAGCACAATTTATATATACTCTATAGCAGAATAGAATCAAATTCCTCTCCCAGAAAAGCCTACTTGAAACTTGCATTGTGGCCTTTTCATTGAATATTAAATTATTTTTATTCTTTCTATATACCAGTGATGGCGAACCTTTTAGAGACCGAATGCCCAAACTGCAACCCAAAACCCACTTATGCATCGTTGGATGCCGGGTGGGTGTGACCCATTGGCTGGGTGTGGCCAATTTTGGGGGTGTGGCCCATTGGCTGGGCGGGGCTGTGGTGGTAATGGCAGACTGGGTGGGACTAAAAAGTTCAATCAATCAATTCCAATTTTGCAAGGTCTTTTTTTTTCCCGCGAGAAGTTGAAATTGACTGATTGAGTGAACCTTTTTTTTTTGCACACGGCAGCGGAGGCCTAAAACGAAAAGGTTTTATAAAACCCAGCTGAAGGCCTAGGACTGGGGCAACCGCGCACGTGCCCACAGAGAGGGCTCTGAGTGCCGCCTCTGGCACCCGTGCCATAGGTTTGCCACTTCTGCAATATACAATAACACTGCTATAAATCATATTTTATATAACTGCATAATTGCTGGCTTATATTTTGGGTTTATTCCAGAATTGCTTTAATGCCAGTTTTAAATTTTAGAATTTGACATCCTTGTATTTTATTAATTTTTCTCTATTCTTCACGCAGGTTCATCTTCTGTGCAATTTTGAAATGCAGTTAGTAAATGAAATTTTGAAACCAATCTGTTCTTTTTATTTCCTTCTCATATGACATCCATTTTTAAACCTATTACCTAAATATCAGATATAAAAACAGAGCTAGTAGATTTTCAGGATGCACTAACTTCTTACCAAAGCATACAGTGGAAATTATTTTTCTAGGAATAGAGAAAGCTGTACCTAATAAAGCACAGTAAAGTAGCTCTAAGATTATTATTCAGAATAAAAGTGAACGATGGAATCCACAAAACAATTCTCATTTATCTTAAGGGGAAAACGTTTACCTCTCTGCTTGAAGCTTTGTCGTTTTGACAATTAAATCCTGAGTTTGCTCCTTAGTGGCCTGGAAGACATATATGGATAATTAAAATGAGTTGCTATTAAGGACATAGTTTTACTCTTAAATATACTATATATTACTTAAATACGTAAGAATGAATAGAAGAGCAATTTAAAGAGTCTAAAATTTCCTGTTTCTTCTCACTGACTGGGACACAGGCTGCAGCATTTTTAAAAAAAACAATTATTGCACGTATATTGCTTTCTTAACATTTGAACTGGGAACAAATTCAATATTGCCAGGCTAAAGAGAGGACTACTCTGGGACAGACCCAGATACATTGCAGATCTGCTTCAAAAAATTCATCAATATTTCTTTTCACGCAAATGTTTTAGCACCTCTGTTCATGAACAACCTTTACAGTGCCATAAAAAAAATGCTGTGTGGTGTCGTATTGCTTGTAAGTAAGTAACATTTCCAGAAGAAAAAATCTGCACTTTCCCCATCACATGCACAATACCTTCAAGTGATTAGTCATATCCTGGCAGCAATTGCTCATGAACTGCACATCTTCATTTATGTTTTCAAGCTCCTGAAATTGCATGGAAATAGACATTATAACAGGTGGCCTAAAATATTTATTTATTAAATTTATATGCCGCCCATTTCACCCATTTGAGGTGACTCTAGGCAGCTTGCAATATAATAAAATATAAAGATATGAAAAATTATGAATGTAAAAAACAGATTAAAATAACTAAAGATTAAATACAGAATAAAAGACCATGGGTTTTGAACAGAGCAGCAACAAGGCCTCCTTTGACACTGCACCAACCGCCTACAGCTTCTCCATCAGAGCCCCATGCCAACCGGCATGGCCAGGTTTTAAGGCTCTTCCTGAAGGCCAGAAAAGTAGGGCCGGATCTCACCTCAAGTGGCAAGATGTTCCAAAGGGCAGGGGTCGTGGCAAAAAAAGCCTCTTCTCCTGGACTCCTCCAGCCAAAATTCCTTGGCTGATGGGGTCCCATCTGCCAGAATGAGTGGGATGGGCCAATATTATATTTGGATTTTGCATACTTTTTCCTGAACCCATCTCCTCAAATTATTTTGACAGTTTTTTCAACCAGCACATTTCCTACAGTTCTACTGTACGTTAATAAGAAACAATAATCAGCAATCAGCAGTTTGCTTAATTTTTTCCCAATGAAGTATGACTTTTGGATTCCCATGTTGGTGCAACAACCCCTGGATATTCAAATATATAACTGTAGAAATGTTTTTCTATCTTATACAGACTTTGCAGCCTGAAATAAGAACACTGCAGGCTTCAAAAATCTTTGAAAATGCAGCTTTTGGTGGACATTGTAATAATGTTAATGGAAGCTGAACAAAATAAAACTGTCCAATGAAAAAAGAATACTAAATATTTTTCTGGTGTTCTTTAGATTTCAGAACTCTATCAGCCTGTCCCTTTCTTACTCTCTACTTTTTTTATTCTCTCTAACCATTTTCATTCTCCCCATCCATGAATGTGTGGGATCATACTAGCAATTTTCTGTTTCACTGGCACATTTTTTCTATTTTAGAATATGAATTATTAGTACAACTCTCTCTATAATTTATTCTCCTGGTGTCCTCTTTATTTGGATTTTTGTATGTCAGCATACGAGTTGTAAGTGTTGGGCTATGAGCTATCAGCCTAAAAGTTTAGGCTAGTGCCACAGTTAATCTGAAGCCAGATTTCCCCAACCTGATACATTCCAGATGTGTGGCAGCCATCAGCCTCTTATTTCCCAGATAGTAAGACCAAAGATCCTGGCTGCTTTATCCTCCCTACTATCTGTTCATATAACATATACTGGGATTAGTTACTGAGAGAAATTTTCCTTTTATACCTTAAAACAAGATTTTAGAAAAAATATAATACATTTGTTTAAATCAATAAATAATAAGAGCCATTAGTATTTTGGATTCAACTCAGTACTATTTTCGGTGCATTAACTATTTCTCTCCACAAATCCCAGATTACTTCTGTCAGCAGAATTGAAGTTTCCCTTGCCATCTAAAGCCCTTGAAACTTGCTCCAGAAAGTTGGGGAACCTCCAGAACAAGTGGGAGAAATTATGGGAGGAGAAAAAGAGATGGGTGTCCTATTAGAGAAAAGAGAGCTCCTGCTCAAACATAATTTCATCTTATATCTTTTAATTTGATTATATGAATAAATATGTCAAATAATGTACACATTGTTTCATTAAACTGTATTTTCTAAACAAACAATAAAAAAAACTTGACGAAAATATTAAATTATGCATAAGAAAAACAGTAGATTGTATAACAACCTGCAGCACAGCAGCTACCAGATGAGTTTATCTGGAGAACGATTCATTTTTTTTCCATTTTTTCTATACCTCTTTCACTTGTTTGAAAATGTAGACAAATTCTTCATTGATAGCTAAACTACGATGCTCAATATCCCCACGGAGATTTCTTCTAGTGCGCAAGCTGTTTTCCACAAAAAAGTCGGAAAGAGTCTTGAGCGCTTCTAACATTTCCTACAAAAAAATGTAATAAAGACAATGTTGACAATTCAGGCATAAAAAGTACCCTAAGAGATACCTAGTTCTGGGTTTTCAGTCACTGCACTTGTTCATGTTAAATGATGCAAAATATTTAATATAAATATAAAATGCACCCGTTATCCCATATTCAATCACTTCTAACCATAGACTATTTAGTATAGTGTAGTGTAGCATAGTGTACAGTATTAGTATTAAAATAGTTTGGCTTGTTAACACATCTTAATTAACAGAGCATGTTGTAGGCATTATATTTGCCATGGTAGCAATTTTTGGTCATTTGAAACATGGCTCTAACCTGTCACACACAAAAAAATATCAGGTATGACAGAAATCTATGGTACGCACTGAGGCAATATCTGCAGGCCTTCTGGTTCCATGGATTATACAGGGGAAACTTTGCTGTAGAGAAAAGCTTTAGTGCCCCTCAAGTGGCAGATAACAGCACCCATTCCTTTCTATTTCAAAAGAAGCACTTAGAAGCACACAAAGAGTACACACAGAATTGTCCTGAGAGCAAGACAAAAAGTAATGGATGGAAACTAATCAAGGGGAGAAGCAATCTAGAACTAAGGAGACATTTCCTGACAGTGAGAACAATTAATCAGTGGAATAACTTGCCTCCAGAATTGTGGGTGCTCCATCACTGGAGGTTCTTAAGAAGGGATTGGACAGCCATTTGTCTGAAATGGGATTCCTGCCTGAGCAGGGAGTTGGACTAGAAGACCTCCAAGATCCCTTCCAACTCTATTATTCTGTTACAATGATACAAATCTGATACGAAGGCAGTTTCATAACTTAAAACCTGCTCTCTCATATAGATCTCTCTTGCTAAGAAACCATATACATCACAAGATCTGTGATTTCACAATGCAGTTTGTACTCACACATGTGAGTTATGATTAAATAATAGATTTCTTATCTGTTGCTATAAATACTGGGTGTATGCTTCACACCTAATTCTGGTAGCACAGCAGCATCAATAAGTCTGTGAGCATGAAATAGACCAGCAGTTGGAAATATTTTTGTGACTGTGCATACCAATTGTGAGAATCCATGCCTCACAAAATACAGCTTTTTGTACATCTTTTATGAAGCAAATTCAAGGCTGATAATGCCACCTGTTTGTAGAGAGGTGAGTTTCTTTTGTAAAATATCTGTATACATTTAAGAATACCTAAAGATTTTTCTTCTTTATATTTTTGCACTAATCAGCCGATGTTGAAATAAATTTGAGGGTGTTTTTTTTGGTCAGTATTAAGAAAAAAAATCTATTATTCTATAATATGTTTAATAAGAACTGTAAACAAAGAATGGAATTTTAAAGCCTAGGGGTACATATTATGAGATTCATGCCTTAAATGTGTGGTTTTGGCTCTATAGTAGACCCAGGGAACTTTTCTCACTGTAATCTGATGCCACAAACTTTGGTTATAAACTACGAGTGTCTATGTTAACTCCCCCCCCCCAATCCATAATGCATGCCTTAAATCAGGGGTGTCAAACTGGTGACCGGATGCATCACGCACAGGCCATGCCCACCCCCAGCTCTGCAAAGGCAAAAAAGTGGCAATACATCACGATATGTCACATGATGAGGTCGAGTTTGACACCTGTGCCTTAGATCCATAATTTTGCTACTCAAAACACTACATTGAGGATTTTATAACAACCATTAACATAAACTTTACAGCACTACAGAATTTATATATAAAAACATTGGGATCTGTTAAGGATTTGTGCCTTGGATTTATCAAAACAACACCATGAAACAGATAGTTCATTTTTGTTATACTGTACACATATCACACAGAAGAGCTGTGAGTGGAGGATAGACTTAATTCATATCCATCTATTTGCAATTATTTTTGGAGAGCAATATGTAACAGTGATTCTCTGATATCCAATGTGATACAAGCCCACAAACAAATTTTGCCAGAACATTACATTATAAACACCATGAATCTAATGCTTCAATGTCCTCACAATATAAAAGAGATAGGTTAGAGTTTTGTGGGCAATTTTATTTAATTCATATTCTACCCTTATTATTTTTTTATACAACTCAAGGTGGCAAACATATACAGCTAGTCCTCAACTTATGACAATTGAGCTCAAAAATTCTGTTGCTACATGAGACATTTGTTAAGTGAGTTTTGCCCCATTTTATGACTTTTCTTGCCACAGTTAAGTGAATCACTACAGCTAAGCTAGTAACATGGTTGTTAAGTGAATCTGGCTTCCCCATTGACTTTGCTTGTCAGAACGTCACAAAAGGTGATCACATGACACTGGAACACTGCAACCATCATAAATATGAGTTAGTTGCCAAGGTCTGAATTTTGATCATGTGACTGTGGGGATGTTGCAATAGTTGTAAGTTGAAAAACTATCGTAACTTTTTTCAGTGTTGTTGTAACTTTGAATGGTCACTAATGAACTGTTGTAAGTTAAGGACTACCTGTATAATACTCCTTCCTCCTATTTTTCCCACAATAACAATTCTGAAAGGTGACTTGGGCTGAAAGAGAGTGACTGGTCCAAGATCACCCAGATGACTTTCATGGCTAAAGCGGGACTAGAACTCATAGTCTCCAGGTTTCTAGCTTGGTACTTCAACTACTAGACCAGTGATGGCGAACCTTTTAGAGACCGAGTGCCCAAACTGCAACCCAAAACCCACTTATTTATCGCCGGGTGCCAGTTGGGCATGGCCCGCTGGGTGGGCGTGGCTGTGGTGGTCATGGCAGATTGGGTGGGAGTGGCCAAGGTGGGCGTGATCACCTCGATGTTGCTCGTGGGGAGGGACGGCTGTGGGGGCTGGGCAGGGTTGGGGGAGATCCAGGGGGTCTCTGCCAGGTGGGGCGGTGGGCAGGAGGCTCATCCTGCGGGGTGAGGCGAAGCAAGGCGAGGCAGGGCGGGGGTGCCATTGTCACAGGGCAAGTAGGGGCAGGGGCGGCGGCTGCCTGACACCATCGACCTCTGCACACAGAGGCCAGCGAGCACATGGGTGCTGGGATGCATCCGGCCATGTGGGACCTTGGCGAGTCAGCGGGCGGCTGTGGGGGCATGGCCTGTGTGCCCACAGAGAGGGCTGTGAGTGCTGCCTCTGGCACGTGTGCCATAGGTTCACCACCACTGTACTAGACCAAACAACCACATTTATTGAATTTTTTTTAATCATTCTTCAGGCTACAGCTGATGTGGCAGTTATGTGAGGAAGTGAGATGGAAATTTCTAATTTGTAGGATGATCTAAACTTTTAAAAAGTATGTCAAACCTTCTAGAAACATAACATATAGATTTAGCTTCTTCAGTCCTTCCTCACCCAACTCAGGAAGCACATATCCATATTTCAGCATTTTAGTAACAAATTTTGCAATGTAATCTGAGAGGAAATGTTCTATGGAAGGTAAATATCAATCTGGGGAACAGACTGCCCAAATTTTCAGTAAGCAAGAACCTCAGTATTACTTTACAATAACAATCTGACCATCTCATATATTATCATATGACTACTAATTCTGCATATTGCATTTGACTTATTAATACATTGCACAGTGGTCCTGAGAAAAGCACTTGATAAATGCAACATCAAATTTTAACTACACATCCTGTGAATATGTTATCATAGATATAATCCAATGGAAATATCACTTTCAGAACATGTTTTTAAGAACAGCAGGTTCCTCACCTGCACATTTCACTTTCCCAACACATGATGCTGTGTTTAAACTGCAGCTATGCCATGAACAAAGTCACAAATTTAAAATCACTCTGAGATTCAATTCTCACATCTAGTCCTTTCAGAAACTGGATACAGGGCATTTAGGTAGCAATTTCCGGGTGTCAAATTACAGGGTTGAGGGGGGATCCATCATGGTTTTTGGAGTGAAAATCTTACATTTCTACCTTCATCCGGGATGAATCATAGGGAATCCTTCGCCAACTTGCCCTTTCCAGTGTGTTCAGTTACAGCACCCATCATGCCCTGCAGCTAAGTCGCTGGGGATGATGGAAGCTCAATATAGCCGGCTGGGTGCTGTTTTCTGTCCTCTTGTCTTCTAGTCTAGCCGAGGCAGAGCCGGCCTCAGACATGACTAGGCGCTATTTTGCAGAAAAGTGGAAGGATAAGGAGAAGAGGGAGGCGACGAATCAACCTGACTTACTTTGTCCGCCTCCAACCGCGTATCTAGCACTTTGCGGAGCTTGCGTGACAGCGGGTTGGCCCCGGCCCCGCCGGACGGCCCCTGAGATAAACTCCCCGTCGTCGGGGTAGCCGAAGTAGCAGCCCCAGCCGTAAATGGGCGCTGCGGCAGGTGTTCTTCGGATATTGCCGCCATTTTCTTCCCTGTCCCGAAACTGCCGTGGTGGCAAACGCAGCGCCGGGCCCCGGACAAGGTGCGTCGGCGCACAGATTCCCTTCTCTCCTCTTCCCGAGAACTGTAGTTCCGCCTGTTTTCGTTCTCCCCGAGCGCGAGACCCTCCCTCGGATCTGAAAGCCTTTTGTCTCTGCAAGACCGGCAGATTCCGATGAGGCGCCTCATAGGAGTCGGAGGGAGGCTTTGCTTTTTCGCGATTGCGACAATTAAAGCGCAACTCACGCTTCTAACTTTAATCGCAATAATGAATTATTACCTTAATAGGGGTCTTGCATGCAGGAGATATTTAGCTTTAATTTTTGGTGAGACTGGACTCAGTTTTTCCTCCTTTGTGTGATTTTCTCGCTGTCTTCTTCAAAATTCGGTAATTAGATTACATGCATAAAACAATTAACTCTTAAAACAGAAATGTGTGACACAACTGAGAAATGTGACTTCTAGTTGACAACATTCCGAGTTGATCGGAATTCCCGGTGATTCAATGGCCGCATGTAATTTTCTTGCGGTTTGTCATAATTTTCTGGGATGCTTTTTCGTTCCCCAGTATATAGCTCTGAAATTTCCTGGTAGTTTCCCGTGTAGATGTAGACCAAATGATGTTTAGCTTTTTTTTTTCTGAGGTGTCCTTGGTACTCTGAACTTGGTTGTCGTTTTTTGCAGGCGTTTCATTACCCAAACTAGGTAACATCATATCAGTGCACTGAGGTTGTTACCTAGTTTGGGTAATGAAACGTCTGCAGGAAAAAAAGCAAGCTCAGAGAGCACCAAGGACCCCTTATGTCAACCCTGAGCTACAAATATTCTCCTTTATTAGTAGTTCTTTTTTCCTGCTTAACTAAAGTTGGCCAGGTGCTGCCATCTGCTGTGCTCTGGCAAGCAATTTTATAGCAATAATTTGTCATAACACTTAATTCTGCAGTGACTTAGTGACTTATAATGGGATCTATATTTTTGCAATGCCTTTTTTGGGCCAGCCACAATTTTTCAAGTTCTCAGGATCTTTTTACTCAAAGAAGATACATGACTTCTCAACGCCAAAAACTTTGTGGGAGATGGAGAAAGATGAGCTATATCTATCTTATCTATGGTAGGTTACGAGCTATGTTTGTGAGAAGATTATATTATTTGATGAAGATAAACAGTCTCCAAAATTGCAAAACTAAGTTCAGTTATACAAATTGTACAACTGGGACAGTTGCGCAGAAGAAGGAATAAATAAATAAACACTGGTTTTAGAAATCTAAAACCCAGTCTCTTATACAAAAGCAATGCTATTTTGGTTAATTGGAAATGCATAGATTATTTGAAATGTGGAAAAATTATGATAATACTAAAATGTATATATTTCTATAACATTTTCAAAGTATTTTAAAAAATTATGCTGCGCTCCCATATTGCTTGGGGAAAGGAAAGTTTTGCCTAGGGCAGTGATGGCGAACCTATGGCACGGGTGCCAGAGGCGGCACTCAGAGCCCTCTCTGTGGGCACATGCGTCGTCGCCCCAGTCCTAGGCCTTCAGCTGGGTTTTATAAAACCTTTTCGCTTTAGGCCTCCACCGCCATGTACAAAAAAAAAAGGTTCAATCAATCAGTCAATTTCAACTTCTCGCGGGAAAAAAAAGATCTTTCAAAGTTGGAATTGATTGATTGAACTTTTTAGTCCCACCCAGTCTGCTGTTACCACCGCAGCCACGCCCACCCAATGGGCCACACCCGCCCAATGGGCCACACCCACGCGGCACCCGACGATGCATAAGTGGGTTTTGGGTTGCAGTTTGGGCACTCGGTCTCTAAAAGGTTCACCATCACTGGCCTAGGGCCATCAAACTGATTTAGGTCAAAAGCACAGTTCAAATCATATAAATCCTGAGTTGTTTATTCGCCATATTTTATTAAATCTGTTCAGTATACTCTTCTAGCCTCAGGCACATTTGGTCAAGGATCTCCATTAACACCTACCAGAACCTCTGCTTATTTGCATAACCTTCAGGCATTTTTGGAAAGGTGTTTTCTTTTAAAGGGCAGTTGACTAGAGCAGAGTGCTTTATTTGTGAGTATGCAGTTGGGGTGGGGTGGGAAGATAAACAGAGATTATTTAGAATACACTGTTGGGGTTTAGAAGAGATACCTTGACTTTATAATAGGTGGGGGCAATGCCCATCATAGCCACCATTTTGTAGGAGTCCACAACATGGTCTCAAAATTGTAAATGTATGAATTAATGAAGAAAAAATTGCCTACCTTACTTTAATCCTTTCACAATTTTTGCAGCGTCTTACATGCTCAGGAATTTGTGTGAACTCTGATGCTGACTAAATTCATTCTTACGAGTTTAGTCACCCCAAGGGGTCGATTTCGGGCAATCATTTTTAAAGCACTGACCTGAGATAAAGGAAACAACAATGTCATTCTGCAAATACCTTTTACATTTTTAACATTTTTTGGTATTAAGGATGATATCTAAAACTCTTGACATTTACAGTAGGAGATGACTGATTTGATTCTCCAACATTGTGAATTCTATCATGCAGAAAACTAGTTGCCTGACAAGAGCCGGAGATATAATGCAACAAAGATCTTATAAATTAAAAATATGGGCAGATAAGTAATTGGGAACTAAACAGATACGTACCGTGGGATCTGAGAGACTTCTCAGTTGCATTCAATAGTACCAACCCTAATTTGCTTCTGGAACATTTGGTCAGTGGGACACTTGGGAAACATTTTTTTTTCTTGGTTTGCAATGGAACAAGCCCACTTGACTGTGTTCTCCCTAAAACACTCCCAGCAGGATTAGTGCCTAGCAGTGGACTGATGATCCATAGGATTTTTTGGGGCTTCGATTGTCCCGTTTTCATCTCAGCAGAAGATAGAATACTATACATGACAGTGATGTGCTTGTGGACTTTCTGCTCAATAGCTGATAGGCTTTTTCTCAACCCAAATACTTTAATGGTTCATTTTCAGACATACATAAAATAAAATTACCATATACAAAAGAAAAACTTTAATAATAAATTTGAAACTCGCACAAAAAGTATAGTTACAACTATATCCCAAGTTCACCTGATTTTACAAAGAAACATTGTTTTTTTAATATTGACCATGAATATTCAAAAATGTTTCCCAAAGGAAGAGATAATGTGCCTTTTCCTGATTAACCAAATATATAATTTTCTCATACACTGCTAAATCATACATCTCTGAAGTCCAGTCCTTCATACCTGGAATTATAGTATCTGCTCATTTAAGGATTATATTTTTGTTATTGTTAAAACATGAAAACCCTCCTTTGTTCTGAACATGTTGAATTCTAAGTAATTGGTGGATAAATCAGTACAATGTACCATCTTTAAAAACTAGAGTTTTCTCAATAATTCTGTCAATGTAATGTGTAACATTACTCCAAAAAGGGCATAACAAAAAATATGGCCTTAACATATGATTAAAGTTCCTCAATTTTTTTGCAATACCAATACAAATAATAATTTGTCAATCTTTTATAAAACATTCTAGATGATGTCTAGTACATATGAAAGCCAATCTGTTGATGAATAAATTTCATTTTTAAGTCACAGGACAAGCCTTTTTCACTATCTACTCTACATGTACCTCATTATGACTCTTAGGCGTTTCCCAACAATCTGGAAGCACAGTAAAAGGACAGGTATTCTGATGGAGAATATCAAGGGTTTTAGCAGGCTACTAAACTACATCACATGTTCATCTTCTGATAAATGGTGTTTCATGGCTGGCTGTGTCCACCATAGTAGCATGACATGAATTGGCTAGACTAGAGGAAGTGATCTAGATCGGATGTTTTTTAATGTCTTCAGGGTATGGAAACTCTAGTTTTTTTAAAATAAAACAAAACTGGAATCCATGATCAAAAAGCATAGTTCTAGTGACAGAAATTTATTGTGTTGGAGATAACTTTTTTTTATCTCTAGTCTCTCATGGAACCCCCAGCAGGTTCCATGGATTCTGTAGAAGACCATTTGAAAAAATCCTGGTCTAGACTTGTGGAAATGGGCTGATTGCTACCCAGCTGCATCTTTCTTTTTAGCTGAAGCAAGACTCTTGAAATTCTGAAATGTTGCTTGGACATAATGATGCATGATATGATTAATAAATTGAGGATCAGCCCATACAAAAAAGTCTTCTAACTTTTTGATAAGATTGATTCAAAGAATAAAACCTGAGAGATATCTTTCTTCAGTTTATTTAGATACCAATATTCAAAAGGTACTAGATGAAGAAAGACAGAGTGAAGCAGATCCCTGAAATTATACCCAACAACTGTCTTCTGAGCTTACAGTAACATCATTTTAACTGAATTAAGATCCCCTGCCAAATTCTGTCTGAGCTCAGAGACAGCTATGGCACAAGGCAAAATAAAATTACCAACTGTTTTAGCATCATGAGAGAGGAGGGTAACCATGGTCTAGCCCTCAACTGTGAATTTCCCCAACTCCATGAAATTTCACTGGGGCCTGTGCAGCTGTCTGGTAGATAATGCCTGATGTGCTAGTAAAGTATAGTCTTCAAAAGGTTTTGTTTCAAGTGCTCCATCTGCCATCTACTTAGCCTCTTTCCTTCCTCCCTGCGCAGTCTAATTATAGGATTGGGATTTATATTTGGAATGTAGAATAATTCTTCAGATGTACGCATCCACATTCAACCTGATTTCTCAGAGTTCCTGGGAAATACTGCGTCACATTTTGCCATTTTCTATGCACTTCAAATATTGGCATTACCATCACATTCTTTTTTCAGAGATCATTGGAAGGAGTTAATCACCTGAAGATGACCAACTTGAGGTCCCAGGACTATACACAGTTCCTAAAAGTCTTGATGGCACCCTTCAGAGAGCATCAAAAGTTATTATCAAATTGTAATTTTAATTCAATAGAAGGGAAATATTATTGTGTATATGATTAATAATCATGTGAACAATAATTACATAATAATAAAAATAATAAATAGGTTTAATGAATAGGTTGAGAGTTCAATCCTAGGTAGTGGCAGATATTTCTTTCCTAGGGCTCAAAGAAAAAATATCTGCTGCGAACTCCGTGTGGCATCAGGAAGGGCATCCGGCCAGTAAACGCTCAGCTCCATCCAGTCATTCCGACTAGCCTGAATTAAGGGATTACAGGGTCATAAAAAAGGAGGGTTTTAATGATCCCTATATAAAATAAATCAAATTTAGTCCCGCCCTTACAATAATTACTTTTCAGAAAGTATTGGAGTCCTCAGCATGCTATCAAAGGCCACATATAACTCTTGGCCTGGAATAAGATGTGCTTATGAAGATGCTGGAGATGATGATGGCACAGACATTCAAGATGATAGTTTAATACCTGCACCTGTTTTTACATTTTAACACAGAATTATGTCATAGATACGCACATCAATTTCCTATTAACTTAAAAATTTGCATGTGAGGTGCAAATTTGACATATTAAAACCAAGGCTATCTTATTTTCTATCAATATTACTTGATTCTTAAGTGAAAATATACTATGATTTGGGAAAAAATGTTCTAAATAAGATATATATACCGTAACAATTTATAACCTGAAGTAACAATGGCATACATATAGCACATTAATGTTATAAGCTATATAACCACAAATATTTTTTTCAACATTCAAAATTTGTTGAGTTAAAGTACTTAAGCTCAGCAAACAGTTGATGTTTTACTATATTATTACAAAACTATTGTAAAGCACAAGTCTCTTTTGATTGCAATGCATGTAAGTCAAATAAATACATAAATCTAATGTGGTGTACTCAATGAGATTTAAAGTTGTTCAAAGTAGTGCAACTTTTATGCCAAATACGGTACATTTTAATATTGAAAAAGCAGGCTAGATAATAAATCAAAACCATTTTTATTGGAATCCTTAAACACATAACAGACAATAGTAGGCAATTCTCTATATTGACTTTTTAAGAAAAACAACACGTTGAAAATAATAAGTGTATTAACATTAAATATTGAAGAGCCATGCTCATAAATTCAATCATTTTTAGCTGTCCAAAATGAGGGGTCCTTGGTGTTCTCTGAGCTTGCTTGTTTTCTTGCAGATGTTTCAGTACCCAAACTTGGTAACATCATCAGCGCTAGTACTGATGATGTTACCGAGTTTGGGTAATGAAACATCTGCAAAAAAACAACCACCAAGTTTAGAGAATACCAAGGACCCTTCATTTCAACCCTGAGCTACAAATATACTCCTATATTGTCTAAAAATAATTGATTCAAATGTCATGCTTGATTGAGATGGGTTTCCCTCCATTAACTTATGATTAAATTAGAGCTCCAGAAGTTCCATTAATTTACGATTGAATTATAACTTCAGAAGTTGTGGGTGCTCCATCACTGGAGGTTTTTTAAGAAAAGACTGGACAGCCACCTATCCGAAAAGGTATAGGGTCTCCTGCTTGAGCAGGGGGTTGGACTAGAACAGGGCTTTTCAACCAGTGGTACGGGTACCACCTGTGGTACATTGGCACCTGGCAGGTGGTACGCGACCATCCTAGAAAAGTGGTAGTGGGGGAGGGGAATGAGCTGAACCGGTGACAGCACCACACAAGCCTGAGCGAGAGACGGCTGGAGCTGCAGGGCTGTCAGGGCTCAGCGGAAGCGCCAGGATCAACACCAGGCTCCAGCTGGAGCTGGGCGCTGATCCTGGTGCTTCTGCTGAGCCCAGAAGAAGCGCCTATCAGCTGGAATGTTGCAGCATCTCCAGGGTCTTGTGATTTACATTCAGATGCTTGGCAACTGATTCATATTTATGATGGTCACAGTGTCCCAGGGTCATGTGAAGTGACCAAAACCTGCTGCAACCACCCAGCAGACGGGGGGAATAAAAACCAAACACCCCCCCATCCCACCCCCGCTGCCAATCCCCAACAAAAATGCTCACAACAATGAAAACCTCGGACAGGAGGAAGAGCGCCGCCAGGCGGGCAGGCAGGTGTCTTGCTCGGCTGTGGCTTGGGGGCCACTTTTTTCAGTGCTATTGTAACTTCGAACAGTCATTAAGCGGACTGTTGTAAGTCGAGGACTACCTGTACTTTTTTCCTTTTTTTTTTTTTTTCTTTGGTCATCAAGTTTTTGACACCTTGCTAGGCGACTGGAGGTACTGGGATGTTGCCATGTCCTAAAAGTGGTACAATGGGTGAAAAGGTTGAAAAGCCCTGGACTAGAAGACCTCCACGGTCCCTTCCGGCTCTATTCTGATGGTTTGATTGAATTTATGAAATGCATTTCCGACCTTATAAAAGGGAAGGGGTTAATTGGCTCACTCTATTCTTCAAGAAACTGAAGAACCGAGAGATTCCTAGGAGCCCCTCCTATCTGGCCAGACAAACGGATCAATATTTTCCAGGGATTTGGGCGCTGAGCCGAGCCCNCCTCCTCCTCCTCCTCCTCGTAGGTGGCAGGGGGCGGAGCTCCTTGCGCCGAGGTTTTGGGACCCCGCTTGGGCTCTTCTCTCCTAGAACCGAGCGCGGCGGCCGCAGCTGGTTCTGCGCTCCGGACCAAGCCGTCGCCCGCCCTCCCGCCCGGACGCGTGCCGAGCAGCTGCAGAAAGGCCGCGCTTTGCAGCTTCCATGTGCGCCCGGGCCGGATCGGCGCAGGCAGGTCGGTAGAGGCTTGGAAGTGGCCGGGGGGGGGGGGGCGGTAGGCGATCCTCGTCCGGCTTAAGGAGCTGTCGCTTCCCAGCGCCGCTCAGTTGGAGCCAAGCCGTCCGGGGCAAAAGGCGCGCGCGAGAGCCCTCGCCTGCCCCAGATCTAAGAGCAGGGGAAGGTGGCGGGGGGGGGGGGGCGGACCCCCGCCCGCTTTTGCTGCGCCTTCCCAACACACCAGCCCCGATTCTTCCCAGTGCCAGGTCGTCCCCTTTCGAGGAGGCGGCGGCGGTGGGAAGCCAAACTTAGCGGCAAGTCCAGCGGGGCAGGCTGGCAAGCGCCTTTTTCGGTGCCGACGCCCGGCCGTCCGTCCGTCCGGAGAAAGGCCGTGACTCGGCACTTTGTGTGTGTGTGGGGGGGGGGACCCCCCTGCCCACCCCATTTTCCCGGATTGACAGCCAGCGCGGGAGAGTTTGCAAAGGGAACCGAACCCCCTTTGCGCCTCTTCTTCTCGGTCGCTGCCCGTTACGGTTCCTTTGATCGCGGGGAGTGGGCGAAAGCAGGCACCCGGGGGTGGAAAAAAATATCTGGGGATGCTCGAAGAAGGCTCCTCTGCCTGATCCGGGCTTCCTCCTTTCCCAGGGGTGCTGGCTGGGTTTTGTTTTTGAAAGGACTCGCAGATTTTCCTCCTCCCTGTTGCCAAATGCGGTCATCAAGCCCATTCTTTTTTCCTTCTGCTCTGAAAGGTGATCGGCTTGGTGGTTTGTTCTCCGTTGGGACCCAGGCAGATGTGAATAACTGTAAGAAGAAAAACAGTGGAGGCAGAGCCCGATTTGTGAAAGCGTTAACTTTCCCCTCTTAACAGCCTCTGGGTTTTTTTTTCCTTTGGAAGCTGTTTTATTTGAACATATGTTTTGCCATGACATTAGAACATGTACATTTTGATATAACTCATAAAAAACTAGAAAAATTACATTTTCCTCATGTATATTAACATCAGTTGCAATTTTTCTTTCTTTTTTTTTTCTTTTTTTTTTAAACCAACATAACGAAACAAAACATAACACACATATATACACAGTATATATTCCTCCCTTTTTTTAACAGCGATTTCGTAACAGTCATCTTCTATTATTTACATTTCCCCCCCCTTATTCTTCTTTAGAATATTTGTCCTTGTTGCCCCATTATTTCTTATTTGCATTTTTCTTCCTTCATACATTATTATGCACACATTTCCCACTTTTAACCTTTCCACATTTATTCTCTCTTATTTCTACTCTCCAACCAGTCATACCAGTCAGCCTCTTTTAAAGGCGTCAAGACCATTTGGGTTTTTGTTCTATTGTCTTCCTGATCTTTGAAGCTCAGTTTGTGCCTCCCCCTCAAGGAAAAAGAACAGGAGGCAAAATGTTTCGGTACGGTGGTTATCTTATTTCTCCTACCTCCAGTTTTTCCTGTTCTAAAGGATTCCGTAGAAATTCCAGTAGAAATTCCAGGGATTGTCACTGGCACTGTGTTATTGGGCACTGTTTTCCATGCAACTGAAGATTGAGATTGCAAGGCTAAACTGGGCTGCAATAATATGGATGACCACTAAATAGCAGCAGCGAGAGCTTTTAGTATCCACTTGCTGCCCTCAACAGTCACCCAGATTTTTTAGTAGTTCTCTGCTGTCTCAGTCAGAAGGCAAGGCAGACGTGGGGCTGCCCTGCTGACTTCTGTGACGTGACCATAGGGCTTGTTGGGTGGTATTTCCAGGCTCCATAAAGCTTCCACTGCTCGCTTCCCCATGTCAAAAGGACAAGAGAGCACTTTTTTTTGTTTGTTTGCCAGCTGACAACCAGATGTGGTAGGAAAATGAGAGGGGGCTGACCTGTTTCCTTAGCAAACTAAAAAGTGGGGCTTTGTGATTCATGGGTTCATTTCTACTTGACACTGAAAGCCACAAGAGCAGTATCCAGAGCTGGACCTGGTAATCTTCCTGCAGCTTCCCCCAGCCCAACTCCTGGCAAGACTCATCCATCCTGTCATTCTGATCATCTTCATTAGAGGGTTATTGGATTGGAACAAGCTATTCTTGCTTGTTGCAGTTTCCATCCTGTATTTCTTACATTGCCGCCCCGCCCCAGCTTAGCTTCATAGCGAAACTTCATTTTCATCGCTGCTTTTCTTGCCCGCCTTCCCCATGTTGAAAGAACTCATGATTATTTACCTCATCTTGCTCCCTTCCTTAATGCTTCTCGTTACAATTACAGCTTCCACTGGGGATGAAGAAGTAACAAGAAGAAGTTCCATCTCTGCCATACCAGGAATCTTAAGGATAAAAGAAGTGAGTTTGACAGCGCTTATGGAAGATTTCCTTGGACTCCAAGGTTCCTGTGACTGAGGAAATACCCACAGATCTGCAAAACTAGTATATCAGGTGGCGGATTTTGTTCCAAGTTCCTCTGGGTCATCATGACTGGGAAAATGGCCTCTAGCCTGACTTGTACCGGAGTGATCTGGGCCTTGCTTTCCTTCCTTTGTGCTGGAGCCTCCTGTGTGGGTTTCTTCATGCCTTATTGGCTGCTGGGTTCTCAGCTGGAGAAACCAGTCTCTTTTGGCACTTTCCGGAGATGTTCCTATCCTGTTCGAGACGAGAGCCGCCAGATTACAGTAATGGTGGAGCAGTGTGGACGTTACGCATCCTTCCAGGCCATTCCGAGTGTGGAATGGCAGATCTGCACAGTGGTGACCGGTTTGGGCTGTGGCCTCCTCCTCCTAGTGGCCCTCACTGCACTTATGGGATGCTGCGTATATGAGCTGATCTCCAGGACGGTGGGCAGGGTGGCTGGAGGCATCCAGTTCTTGGGGGGTAAGTACCTGCAAACTCCTGACCTTGGAACCAATGCCCGCCAGCACAGACACAGTGCCTCCATTGTTCTTGCTGAATCAAATTCTTTCTTATATTCATTTTTCTGCTAAGGCCAGCCTCTACAAAATGGGAGGGGTGTATTTATAAAGGAAAAAAAAAGACAGTGAATGGAATTTCGAATGCTGAACCCTTTTATCACAGTATTGTCATTTTCCTGTGGGGAAAGAATTGTTTCAGAGTTCACTCTAATCTCTTGTCCCTGAAGTAGTGAGATTTTCCACCCATTACTTGCAGGGAAAGAGTACTTGACTCATGTTTGCCTGAAGGAAGCCTTATTGTTTCGGTGAGAACACAATACACCACAATTCTAACCATTTATACCGAACAGAAAGACCACTGTATTTCTTGGAACATCCCCTCAGCTGTTTATATTAAAATGGGAAACATAACTTATTAGAAAATAGATTTTAGATTGGCGCTCGGATCATATTTTGAAAGTTATTCTCCCTTCCCCAAAGTCTGCTCAAGTCTCGGAAATAGTTTCCTCTAGTTTATTGTTTCTGGCATATGGTTTTAATTCAGATTTTTCCTTTGTGTGTGTCTGTGGCTGGACTCCCTCTTTCTTTGTGTGCGTATATTTGCAGCTGTTTTCAATTCTATCTTCTGCAGCTGTGAAGGGGGAGAAAAAAAGAATTACGTAAGAAGTCAGATTTTATGACATTTTGCGAGGAGGTAACGCAAAGCCTCCCTTGAGCTGAGCCAAACTTCTGGCTATTACAGACACATCCGTGCAGTTTTCTGGTCAACAGCGTAGAAGTGATTTTCCATTACCTTCTCTGGCATATTTTTTTGACTTCCCCAATTTTGCCTCCAGCCTTGGAATACCCTGGTGATGTGTCATCATAGCACTGATGATGGTTTAAGCTTGCTTGGCTTCCAGATCTGGATACCTTTGGCCAAGTGCTGCCCCCTGCTGAGATGAGCTTATGGGAACTTTGTTTTCTGACAGTGAGGTGATGGTGGTAGGAATGGAAATGGCTTGCTGATAATGGTCTTATCTCCTCCCTTCTAAGCATTCTGAAAAAAACCCCCGATGTTGCAATGCAGAGCTCATGGAGTATATCAAATTTCTATTCTGATGGTATAAATTAAAAACCAGGATCCACAAACACTGGCTGGCAGTCAAAGGCCACGATCCCAAATCCTTAATCTCTATACACCGACACCAACAGCACCAGTTCGATTGGAGCAACATAAAAATCATCGGTCATGCTATCAGCCGCCATGCTCGTGAGGTCATCGAAGCCTGGCACTCCTTAAGCAGTTCCATCAACAGACACACTGACCTACAACTAGCCTACGAACCCCTCAGAATCCAAATCAACCACATAGTCAACCAGAGATAGCAATGACCCTCAACCAATTTATGCAAGCCCCCCCTGCCACCAGCAATTCACCTCCCAATGACCCTGACCGGATGTAACCTCCCCATCACCAAACTCACTGATGACTCACACCTGACCTATCACAAGACCCATCACAGACCCTCACGTGACACCACCACACCTGAAGCCCTTATAATCAGAATAACACCATCATCCCCTAAACCAGTGATGGCGAACCTTTTAGAGACCGAGTGCCCAAACTGCAACCCAAACCCCACTTATGTATCATCGGGTGCTGGGTGGGCGTGGCTAAAGGATGGGTGTGACCAATTGGGTGGGTGTGGCTGCGGTGGTAACAGCAGACTGGGTGGGACTGAAAAGTTCAATCAATCAGTTCTAACTTTGTGAGATCTTTTTTTTCTCCCATGAGAAGTTGAAATTGATTGATTGAATCTTTTTTTTTTTTTTGCACACGGCGGCGGAGGCCTAAAGCGGAAAGATTTTATAAAACCCAGCTGAAGGCCTAGGACTGGGGCGATGATGCGCGTGCCCACAGAGAGGGCTCTGCGTGCCACCTGTGGCATGTGTGCCATAGGTTCGCCACCACGGACCTAAACTCTGCTGAAGATGTTACCCAGCCTGGTAACAAAACATTCAGAAACCAATCCACAAGCTTGGAGAACGAACCTTCACCCTCATCCTATAGCCGAGCTACAGATATTCGCCACTATTGCATAAGTTAATACTAGTGGTTACCTCTGCAATTTCTCTTTAAAGCCACATCCATCCAAACTGGTTAAAAAAGTATGAAGATATAGGATGAACTCCACTGTCAATAGAAAATATTCCACTCACCTAATTTTTTGGGATTTCTTCTTTTACTTTACAAGCATACTTGTCAAAGTGTATTGCGTGGTAAAATAAATTAATAATAAACTAACACAAACTTGGTGTAAATTCAGTTGGACAGTTCTAATTAAATTCTAATTAACTCTTCCAAATGACTCTTATGGAAGGAGATAAAATTAGGTACAAATTTCACACATGCTAAAATTAATGCTGAAATGTGTAGCAAGTATCACTTATTTTTCTTAATTAGGGAAAATGTACTCAGTTAACTATGTTTAAAATAATTATAAGCACTGTAATAAAATAATTCCCAAAGAAAGGTTTTAATCTAAACATAACATATTCATCTCTCTCCCAGTTTTCTCTCTTTCTGCCAAATAAATTATTTATTTCAGCTATTAGTGGAAAGACTTTTGAGAAATTTACATAATATTCATAATTAGCTTTGTTTAAATAAAAATGAACCTGGTAATATACATTTTTCCATTGACTGAGGGTACTGGAAAACTTCCTTCAAAAGATTCTAATGTGAAGTCTTTCAGAAAACTCTACTAACAAAGAAATTGGATGTTTACGCAGTAATACCTGCCTGCTTTTGAAATTAATTTTGCCCTCATTTTCTACTACCGGTATAACGTTTGATAATTCTCTGTACAAGAGTTTCATTTTGTGGCTGTTTTTATCAAATTTCATCCTTCTTATTAATGAAAAATCTTACTCTAACAATTTGCATTTGTCTTGCAGTACATGTCTTTCAGTAGCTACAGTGAAAAGTTTTGATGTAGTCAAAAGAATTGCAACGGTAGTTCTTTGCACTTATCTGTATAGTATATAGTGCCAATTTAGCAACTTGATTTTTTGTGTGTGTGTGTGTGTGTGTGTCAGTGAAAAGCACTAGGAATATATGTTAAGACAGTGAAAATCAAAGAAAGCATACAAAGCATTAAATGCTTTGTATGCTTCACTGTGAATTGGTGTAATTCAAATCTCTTTTATTATCTTATCAGTTATATGATTAACATTAAGAGCTCTGCTGTCCTGTTTAGTTGACACATTGAAGAATAACTTCTATTCCAGAAAACAGATTACAAATTCTGGTTACTTAATGAGGTTGTGAATGTTGAATTGGGCACTCCCTTGCCCAGTTGCCTTGTTCTCATAACAGTAGCTGGACAGTGCTATTCTGTGTCTTGCTTAGATGGTTGGTGGAGAGGAACAAGTTGCCCCATGCAAATTAGTTAGTATCCTAGGATCCTTCATTCAGCAGCTTAACAATGTGACAAGGATAGCAAACATGGCAACTATAACTACTAGCCAGACAGAGACTATTCCCTCTAGTTGCAACAACAGGGACAGACTACGCCCCTAGCAACCCTGGGCTGGAAAGCTCCAATCAATAGGCCCAACTTGGACAGCAACTCAAACGGATGACGCTTAACCCCTGGTTTCCCCCTTCCTTTAGGGCAATGGCTGGGGCTGAAGATTTTAAAAAAAAAGGCCTTTTGTATGATGTACTCAGCTTTTGACTTGCAGCTCCATGGGGGCAGAGTGACCAGGGGGAAACTTAGGCTGAAACTTTGAGTCATGTTTTGACACTGAAACAAAGATAAAAAGCACCGAGAACATACAGAACATTTTGATATGTAATTGTGCAGAAGGCACACAACAAGTGAACTGTGGAGAAATAAAATATGCCTTTTTTAACCTCGTACAGAAGGACTCTGAAGGGAAGTTACGTTTCTAAGGAAAAATCTAACCTAACAAAAAGAAAAATTGATTTAGTTTATTAACATGTAGCTTCCCTGATATTTTATGGTAATGTATGATTCATTCATTCATCATTTCTCTTTGCTCCCCTTTTTTAATATGTAAACCTTTTTCAGTCTGAATTAAATTTTGTCCTTACTACTATCCAGCCTGCTGGCCAGTCTCTATGAAGAGCAGCACTTGCTAAATTACTTCATAAGGAAGATCCCCACTGGAGCCAGGATGCAAAGAAAGGGCCAGAGGCACAATTCCTGGGAACCCTGTGTTTAATAAAAAGCAAATTATGCTTGTAGCCCAGGCATGGCCCATCCCAAAGGTAGCACATTTCACAGATTTAATAACAGAGTGAATAGCCAGCTAAAAGCAATCCGAATGGATGGTCTCTCCCCCACATGCTGTATTTTGTAGTACTATTACATTGGCTGTTCTTAAATCTTTTATGGAATGGATTGGCAGGTCATTTCATGTAGAGAAAAAAACATTGGTTTGATGTATACCTGCTTCTCTGTTCAAGGTGGCTGACAACATTTCAAACGAGACAGAATATAAAAATAAGGATTAAGATCAACAATAAAAAACCCTAAAACCATAATGACTGCGCAGTCAGTTTTGTAAGGTATTTAAGGCTAGAAAGGTCAGTGCCAACCTCTTAAATGCTTAGTGATTTGCTCTTCTTGAAATTAATGCCACAGCCTATTTAAGGTGTTACTTTCTCTGTGCTCAGTTGAGGAAAATTCCAGTACTGTATCGTTTTTCGTTTGGGGAAATTCTTATGACTTGGTATAATTAATTTGGAGGAACATATTGGAAGTTTTATTATATCCATTAGCAAGTGTGACTGTTCTTGATTTGCTCAGTCTCTAAATTGGTTCGTCTTTCTCTCCTTCTGCCTATGGAGATTTTCAGTCATCCAGATCATGGTTGTTCCAAAAGTGCTTTTTTCAAAAGACAACCCGACTTTGTTTTTCCTTGAAGACATTTCGCTTCCAAAAGCTTCCA